GAAGTCCATTTCAAAAATACCTATCAAAAAAACTTGTTTTCAGTTTCACAGTTTCAATGTTATCTTACGTTAGAATCTAAAATGGATTTTATTGGAACCCGGCAAGATGAATTACATATCCTAAAAAGAGTTCTGAACAAGCTTGCATAGGTCAATGAACTCTCTTCTTCCCCCACAAAATACTTCCAAAAAAAGAAAAAAAAAAGAAGAATACAACAAAAAAGTCACTATTTTTTCGTCATCACAAAAAGAGAAGGAGAAAAAAGTCAGAATTAGAAATGGATGGGATATCCATATGTACAATATGACTGCCAATCAAAGTTCTCATCTCAACATCTTCTTCTTACTTTGTGCTTTGTACAAAAAACAAAAAGTAACAAAACAAAAAAGGAAGGTTTTTGAATTTTTTCGGGTAGCTAGCGTTCGTGTTTTATTCAGAAGAGCTTAGAATACAAGAAGACGTGGGGGAGGATGTGCAAAAATGAAAAATCCAGGAAGTCCGGAAACACTTGAAATCAGACATTCGGTGTATACATATAAATCAGATTTCTGTTTCTTTCTTTTTTTTCTTTTTTTGCACAAAAGGAAGATTCCTCCTAGTGACGTGACACTTTTAGAAAGAATCAAAGAAATAGTGATTAGTTCATTGACAGATTCAGCGACTTCTTTAGCCAAAGTTTACCGTAAACACTATAATAGAATGACCCTCTGAATATCAGTTTTCAAACAATTGTTCTCGGTTCGGTTCCTAGGTAAGTCGAACCCGCGGCCTTCCGCACAACGGCTGCGCACACACACACAGCTGCGCCATGAGGGCCACATCAAGAGAGGGAAGGTAAGGCGTAGATGTTTTACAGTGTGGGAAAAAAATCGAAAATTCAATCGTGTAGCGACGAACAATCAGCGCCGGAAGCGCGGTTTCGGAGGCATACTATGAAAGCCTTTATGGTAGAAACTATCAAAAATATTGCTAAAACTAAATATATACAATTTCAAATGAAATGAACCAATAGAAGAAAATTGAAAAAAAAAATTCTCGAAAAAAAAGAAAGTTTTCAAAAAAAAAAAATCATGAAAGCGGTGGTTCAATAACTCTCATAGTCCTAAAACACTAGGGTGAAACATACATTTTTTGAAAATTGAGTCTGATTTGCTTGAGGATTTCGGTACTTGTAAATTCAAAAAATAAGCGGAATCACTAATTGTAAGTTAGTTACGGTTGAATATAAAGCTAAAATTAATCTCAACTTTCACAAAATTTATCTTGCTACCTGTCAAAGAGTTTAAGAAGTGGTCCACTAACAAAATGTGTCATACTATTAGAAACATTTTTATTTTCACGGTGGTGAGCCAGAAAATGGGAGGAAATATCAATACCCAGGTAAGAAGTTCTTTTTTCGGAGAGAGCCAATGGAAGAGTCACCGATATACATCTAATGGGAAATATTAACTAATTGGAACAGGAAGTGTTGTTTCGATCTAGAAAAGAAGTAAAAACAAGTCGTGACCTGGAAAAATCCAAACATCCGGACCCAGATTCTCATGGAACTCATCAAAAAACAAAGAAAAAATTGGATGACGATAACCATCTGAGGCAAAAAAAAGAAGGAGAAAAGGTCTAGAAGAAGAAGCGTCTAGATAATTATGATTATTAATCGGATTTAGATGTGCAAAAGAGAAAAAAGACTTGAAAATAATACAATTAACATTAAGGCGTGTGGGTTTCAAGAGAAAAATAATGTGGGTTTCTCTTCTTCTGGAGCGCAACACAAACCGTCTGATCGACGATGATGATGAGGAAGAAGAGGAAAAGATTTTTGGTTGTTTCTTCGTCTCCTTCTGATGACGTCAAAATCTGACGGGTACGTACGGATCATCGGGAGGTCTTCTTCTACTTCTGGAGACTGCTAGGCACCGTGGGAAACAAAGTTTTTTTCTGCGCGGCGTTTGTTTGTACCCAAACTTTTGGAGAGGAACAGAGATTACGGTAGACCTTTTGTTTTTTTTTAAGGAATCTGATGTTATTGATCAGCAATTCCGTGTATTTTTCTGCGGAGTGAGAAACCGTGAAATTTGGAAAAATAGTGCCTTGATTACTAGTCTCAATGATCATCTCTTCGTTTTTGGAACATCCTTACCAAAGGCTATTAAAAAAGAATTAGTGTTTTGTTAGTGTCAAATCAAAATATATGAAAGTTATAGTAGTTGGTTAGCTGATCAGCTATTTGTTGGGGTCTAGGGTGATTTTAAAATAGTTTTGAAAAAAAGACGAGGGACTTTCAGTGAAGAAATTTTTATTGCAGGAAAATGTTGAGAATGCAAAATGGAGAGTTTTCAGTTCTGGCGGAAAGTCAAAAAAATTCTGGAACCTTCTAGGACTTTTCAGAATTGAGCGATGTTTTGAGATTTCGTCTTTTTTGTCTTCTATTACAGGGGGTCCTTTTCCCAATTCTCATCCTCGTTTTCTCAAATTTCAAACTGATATTGTTATATTCTTCATTTCGGAAATGTAGATATTCATTTGAAGGTTCAATGATTCGGAAATTTCTTCATATCAAAAAATCTGAAGCCCGGAAATTCAGAACTTCGGAGTTGTGAAAAATCCGAATTTGTTAGTATCGAACTACGGAATTCGGAATTTCGATATTTAACAATATTCAAAGTTACGAAAATTCAGAAATTGTGAAGTTTGCAGTAAAAAGCAGCGTAAAAATCATAGAAACGAAAATCGGATAATCAGGTGCACGAAATTCGAAATTAGAAATTTAGAAAGTTGGAAATCCAGAAACTTAGGGATTCATGAATTCGATTTTCTGAATTAGAATACCATAAAACCTGTATTAGAAGGGCCGGCCCTTCTATTTTTCCAAGGTACTCCCGGAGGTCTCTTCTATTACAGGGTCCCTTCTATTACATGAAAATCTGTCAACTTCATGAAAATCTGTCATTACATGAAAATCTGTCATCTTCTATTGCGGGGGCTCTTCTATTGCGGGGGCCCTTCTATTACAGGGGGTCCTTCTATTTTTCCAGACCCCTCTCAGAGGGCCCTTCTATTTGAGGGACCCTTCTAGGACAGGTTTTACGAAAGCTTAAGGTTTGAGAATTTCTGAAGTTCCAAAATTTTTTGCTCTTTCAAATTAAAAAATTCGGAAATTCGAAAACATCATATTTTGGAATTCGAAGACCGTATTTTAGAAAAAACGAAACTGTTTGAAACACTAATTTTTTAAAAATTCATAATCTCAACGATTTATATTCTGCCAAATTCGTAAACTCGGAGAAAAGGTTCAAATTCAAAGTCTAGAAAATTCGAAGAATCCTGAAAACACATTTTCTTCATCATTCTCATTTTCCAGCTATTCCAGTCCTTTCCCTTCAAACTTTAAAACCCATACTGAAAACTATTTTCCACACTTTTCCTCTTTTTCAAAGCTAACGTGGACAAGAAAAATACTGGGCGGTTAGACGGAAATGACGTGAAAATTACTTCAATAATTTTGTGAAGTACTGGTATTGGAAAAAAAGAAAAACGTCTCCAGAAGACGCCAGAGACAAAATTTCGAAAATAGAAAAGGTCGGGGCTAAACTAATAAAAATTTCCGATCCATCCATCCAAATTCCAGCTCAATCGGTTAAGTTTGAGTGGGTGAAACGCCACGCGACACACATCATCACAGACAAAATTTGGTGTTTGTTATTAGTAATGATGTTACAGTAACCACTTGTGAAAATTCTACCAATAGACGTCCCTCGAGAAGTTGGACTCTTGGACCAAATAATGGAGGTAACTAACTACGCGGATTTATACTAGCGCCTGTTGCTTTGTATACAATGGGACAAGTTTCACCTGCCACCGTAATCTGACTAAACGTTTGATATTCTCCGCCTCTAGCACAAATGAGAATAATATACACTTCTAGTTTGGCATTCCAATTATCGAAAATATAAATTTATTTAAAAAAAAACAAAATTCAAATGACCATATATCCAAAGTCTTTTCATGAACAAAATCAACCGTCTAAAAATGTACCTAATTAGAATCCTCCGAAAAAAAAGGAATTCAATTGCAACAAACCGTATGTTTGTGACGTAGTTCTGAAAACACTTGATCTTCGTCCCTTTTCTTTTCCTAAATGCATACTTTTTTTATTGTATTTTGATCCTCTACAGTATCTACTAGATCATATGGTTTTTCAATTTTCCAGATCTCTGACTCTGAAAAATCAGCAATCTAGTGATTCCTTATTTCTCAAATCAAATCTCTTGTTGAAAATAAAAAGTCAAAACATGTATAAGATAATCTGATCCGCTTTTAGTCTTTCCTTTTTCGACTATGGATAATCTCTGGACCAAAAGACGTCGGTACGTGAAAAGTGATGGAACTCAATTTTCGAGAGTGATCAATAATCTGGGTTTAGAAGTATTTGACATGCTAGAATATAGCTAATACACGTTGACCTCAATTATCTAGATTACTGTAAACAATATTGAAAATTTATTAACTGATAAAATTTTTGTCATAATATCGCTAACAGTTTATAAACTAATGCCTTTTTGACATCTTTCATAGGAATTTAGATAATTAAGCTCAAAGTGAAATGGCTGGTGTTTTAATTTAGGTTATTGTCCACTCAAGATGTAATGAAGTACAAAATATGTCAGGAGGCAAGTTATGAGATTGAAAGGGCAGCAAAAAGAAGAATTAGATTTTTGGACCCATTACGAAGAAAGATGAAGTTATTTTTTGAAAAACTGATAACAGATTGCTAAAGCCAGTTTGGTGCAGTATTAGCCGGAGAACAGAAAAGATTGAGAACCTCTGGGGAACATCGCCAGCCCATTGTTATCCATTATAGTTGTTATAATTTTGAAACTGGAAAAAATGGAAAAATTTAATGTCTCAAATTTTCAGAAAAAAAGATAAATGATTCCCCTCCCGCGTCTCTGTAGCATGCGGTGACCCCTTCTATTCCTCTGATATCGATGTTTTGGCCGCTATGGTTGTAACTATTATTAAACATAAACCTCGAAATAAGAGAAAAGCTCTCTCGGCCTTGAAAGATGAAAATGGCGGTAAGAAATCCAAATTGTCTGAATATTCCAGTAAGCAAGCTGTGGATGATATAATTGAATCTGTGGATGATATGTCTAACCCATTATATGAACTGCTGTCCAATGATTTCAAATCGAAAGAAGAATTCACTGTGAATGATATTGCAATGATGTTTAAGTCGCTGGCTGAAACGATTCTCAAGCTTCAATCCCAAAACACAATGTTGAAAAACCAAAACTGTATTCTAAATGCCAATTTGTCGAATCTTACGGAAAAAGTTGATGGCTTGGAGGAGAATCTCAAATTGTTATCATCTCAACCTAAGGAATCACCAAAACCTCCTACTACATTAATTAAAACTTTTGCTTCAGCTGTCGCCTCAACCATCTCTGCTCCAGAATCCCAAATCACTTTCATGCGAGCTGCCTCATTGGCTAACTCTGAAGATGCACGGAAATCGAATGTGATCATCAAAAATATCGACCTTTCGGAAGAAGCTATTGAGAAAGCTGAATTCGCCTCTAAAATTGCCAAGGACTGTGGTACTTCGACGCCATCGGTTTTTCGCATACCTCATCCGGCCAAAGGGCCGCCCATTGTGCGCCTGGCATTCAAGTCCAAGGAGGAAGCAAGAACTGTCCTCACCAAATTCAACTCAATCAAGGCTTCAATACAGGGGTGCTTGAATGCGTCTCCCCGCCCAGACCTCTCCAAACCAGAACTCGAGAAATATCGACAATCCTGGAAAACGGTGATCCAAAAGAACAACGAGGCAGGTCAAACCATTTATACGGTTCGCAATCTGGAAGTCGTCAAAGTTGTCTACAGAGAAAATCAGAAGCCGTGGCCATGGGCCAAAAACACTCGATCCCAGAAAATATCTAAAAATTGGTTACACCAATAGCTGCTCAATTAAGAACAAAGTCCTCCAACTCGATCTATGGTCTTCTAATTCCAACATCGATATTCTCTGTTTAGTGGAAACTAAAATTGATTCAAACTATCCTGACTCCCTGCTATCTCTTGATGAAAAATATGCTGTAATCCGGAAAGATCGAAACAGACATGGCGGAGGTCTAGCCATACTAATCAAGAAGCCTATCAATTATACGGTAGTATCACTTCCGACACATCTTGAATCCGTTGAAATTCTATCTGTGGATATCAAAATACATGGCAAAACTACAAGATTAATTGTAAGTTACAATCCTAATCACAACTACTGTTTTAAGGACCTTCGAGAATCACTTAACATACTCTTGTCAACTGAAAATCCATCTATTATCACTGGAGATTTCAATTGTGCCCATGTTGATTGGAATTCATATACAGCATCTGCATCTCAATGCCAGTCACTGTTGGACGTTTCGCTTTATAATGGCCTGACGCAATTTGTACAAAATCCAACAAGACTCGAACCACCAAATATATTGGATCTGGTGTTCACTAATTCCATGGACATTATTCGTGATGTCATTGTTGGTGAGAAATTCAGTGACCATTGCAGGATTGAGATTGATACCTTTATATTGCTTAATTCTATTCACCCCTCAAATCAACGAAAAATTTCAAAAAAGGAGATTTTAGATCGATGAATTATATTCTATCAAATATCGACTGGGATTTACGATTTTCAACAATGTCAATTGATGAAATGTTTGATGATTTGAGAGGAATAATTCTGGAGCTTATTGAATCTTTTGTACCAACAGAAACTCATCGAATTCATAATATAATTTATTCCAAAGAAACCAAACAATTACTAAAGAAGAAATTATTGATTTGGAAGAAAGCAGGTAACTCGGACGAGTATAAACATGTTTCAGCATTATTCAAAAGGTCTCTCGTGAAATCTGAAGAAGAAAGAATCTATAAACGTCTGAATTCTGGATCAAAAAATTTTTTCGGATTTATGAAATCGAAATTTTAAAAAAACAGTGATATACCGGCAATACGATATAAATCTAATGAGAATGTTATCATGAGTGATGAAGGAAAAGCCGAAATATTTGGAGATTGCTTCAGTGAATTTTTCAACATTGACAAAGATATCCTTCCTGCTACAGGGAATCTAACTTCTAAGTTCAGCTCAGATGTCATATTCACGCCGGAGAATATCGAGATATAACTATATAAACTGAAAGGCCGAAATAATACTTCTCCGGATAGTATCCCGTCAATATTTCAGAAAAGAGCATGTACTCCTCTTGCGATTCCACTATGCATTATATTCACAGAAAGTTATCGAGTTGGAAGAATACCAAAATCTTGGAAGGAGGCGATTGTTATGCCGCTTCATAAGAAAGGCTCCCGCTCCGATCCTTTAAATTATAGACCAATCTCTTTAACATCCAATATATGCAAGATTATGGAGAAGTTGATACGAAAACATCTAGTCCAATACTTATCCGAAAATAATCTATTATCAGAAAAACAATTCGGGTTCCTTAATCAGAGAAGTACAATTTCCCAACTGATCGCCTACCAGAACAAGCTTGTTTTCAATTTTTTAAATGGGTTAGATACCCATAGCGTCTATATTGATTTCCAGAGGGCCTTCGATACAGTGCCGATAAACAAATTGATTCATAAGTTGGAAAGCTTTGGGATATCTCCCAAACTAAGAAATTGGCTTCATTCATTTGTCACGGACAGAAAATTTCAAGTCAAAATCAATGATATACTATCGAAGGAGAGGCGCGTATTGTCCGGAGTCCCGCAGGGCTCTGTTCTTGGGCCTACCCTCTTCTTGTTATATATTAATTGTATTGGGGACAAATTTCAAAGTGACTATCTACTGTTTGCAGATGACTTGAAAATTTATGATACGAATGATAGATTGATTGATGCAGATTTAATTGAATTGGAGAATTGGTGCTCGAAGTGGAAAATGAAAGCGGCTCCTAAAAAGTGCGAATACATCAAATTCAATGATTCGCCCCCGCCCCGGGAGGCGGCATACTTTGCGTAATCACGCGTGAAACTTTCAGGGTAGCCTAATTGGGTACCCTGAACCGTAAAAAAATTGAAAAAATTTGGTTACTGCTTCATTCAACGAACTGCTTTTTTCCACATCCGGGGCGGGGGCGAATCCGCGCCCCGCTTGCGGGGATCCCGCGTAATTCCCTGTTGCCAACCCTAAATAAATAGATGAGTAGAAATAAAAAGGAAACAAATAATAAAAACTTCTAGGAATTCACCGTTTCGAATGATTGACATAAGATATACTTTGATTATTAACAGTGCGTGCCTACAGTAACCCTCAAAAAACAACACCAATGAATCAGTATCTAAGCAAACTCCGAACTACAAGACCAAAAAGAGCAACATCTTTTTCTTTCTTCCTCCTTTTTTGACAGCGGTGATGAGTGAAAAGACGAAAAGAATGATTAACTCTTCATGAATACAGGAAGCGCTGGTCTAGGAAGCACACAGAGGGATGTCAGAATCCGTTAATCCACGGTCATTTTGGACTTTATATCCGAAAGGAGCCAAGAATTTGGGAACAAATCTGGGATTAGGCTCATGGAGTTTTCTAATTTAGATTTGAAACATTTTGATTTGTGACTACTTAAAGAAATACGGGAGACAGTTTTGGAAAATAGATAAGGGAAAATATGAGTTGCCACAGCAATTACATTAAAACTTAGGAGAAGAAAGTAATTACAAAAGGTTAATGAAACTGCAATAATACACAAATCCTTGTGAAAAGCAGAAAAATTATATATCTTTTTAGATGCAATTTTTTGATGTACTGGAAGCTTCAAACAAGTTGGACCACCAAATTGAGAGACCCATTGAAAATTTCTTATTTATTATCCCGGAAATTATGAAATTAAACTTCGATTGTTTCAACGGAAACAACCAAGATGATTTTTTGGCTTCATTTAGTAGATATGCTGTGTCCAGTAATGTTCTTACATACAATTTCTCTAGTGATCTCTTTAGAACAGAAAATAATTCCGAATTTCGAGTAAAAATTGCGGTTACTGTAGTTCTAAATGTAATAAAGAACTTTCAAAAATTTTAATGCTATTGTTTTGGCATGTTTGATCCTACTACCAAGAGTTGGGGGCATGAAAAAATCGAATTTTTATTCATTTTTACGAATGCTCCTAACTTTTCCTCTCCCTTAAAAAATTTTTGACAGGTTAGAAGTGTTTATGAGCGAAGAATGCCTGACAAAACAAGGTGTTCTACAACGTTTATATTTGTAACGAAGATTAATTTTTAAACATTTTTGCTAACATTAGTTCGACGATGTTAATGTTTTTCAAAACTTCAGATTTTCGGATTTATACAGATAGCTTTTTTTCAGATTTATTTTTATAAATTTGTAATCCTTCTGTCAGAAATTACGGTAATGTAAACATTCTGTAAACACCATAACATCAAATTGCAGACAACAACCCGGTTTTAACATACTAGGATAGGCGACTGCAAAAAGTAGAAAAAGATCTTTTGATCCTTCAAAAAGTGTTCCAAAGACTCAAAAAAGCCCCGGCTTAAAAATAGCTACTTGTTGTTTTTGCTCAAATAATTCAATCACCAAAGATTTGACATCATACAAATATTAAAAAGAGGAATTTGGGTATATATGGAATTCAAAAATCAGTATGTTCTTCGGATCAAAGAAGTTTTCTTGGTGTGAAAAATCTGAGATTTCGATTATTGCTGATTATCAAGGATTCGAGGATCTCTAAAAGTTTCACGATTTCTGACGTTAAAAGCACGTTTTCAAGGGATGTACGAAACAGGGAATTTTAAGGTTTCCGAGAACATTTTAATGCTGACGTGAGGGACAAATGAGTGGGAGATGATGTTTATTGATGAGAATTTTGTAAAAAAAATTTTTAGAGAAAAAATAATAATTTTCGAATAGGGTTAGACACCCTAAAAAGAAATGAATGATGAGATGTAACTTCGAATTGGATTATCTAAAAATATGACAATAATCAAAAAGCAACGAAAAATCAGAGCAATGAAATTGAAAACGACCAATAAAATAGACAACACATTTCCGATTCGAACGAAATAGGTAAAAATCAGATCGATATTTTACCTTGAACTTGAAATAGTGAAAAATTTTTTGAAAAAAATTCAAATGCAGATGATCATAAAGATTGTTCAATTATAATGTCCAATGTTTCTTCAAATCACATACTATTTTTTTTTCTATTTTTCTCATAGTCGGGTTTTCTAGATTCGGCGAATCTTCATGAAAATATGTTTTCGCTGACATCATTTTTTAAAGAAACATCTTTTGCCAATTTAGACATCCTGACTAATTGGTTGATCAGGACAATTTGATTTAAAAAAACAGAGTTTCAAAAACAAATTTTTAAGGAAATTTTCGAGAAATATTCGAGAAATAGATAAAATGAGCCAATATTCGAGAAATAGATAAAATGAGCCAAAAAAGGAAACTCTAGAAGCTTACGGCTTAAGATAGTTCACATTTCACGCTCTGTTCACAAATCTGTGAGATATCACAAAACTTGTATTAGAAGGACCTAGCCTATAATGTACAGTACCGATCGATGAGAAATACAAAAACATACATTTCAGTTGATTTTCAGCCATTTTGGCACTTTTCAGGAGTCTGGAGCTCGCTGTCCAGCTTTTGCCCGTTTTGGTTATGAAAACATGAAAATAGGCGTTTTTCGGAAGTCTGTTAATAGCTGAAAAACTAGGAAATTTTAGAAAGCTCTGTGAATGCGAAGTTTTCGACCTAGGCCTGTTTTACAACCTCCACAATTTTCAAACTATCCGGAAACTTGACAGCCGAGCTCCAAACTCCTGAAAATGGTAAAAATCCAGAAATTTACCGTTTCAGAAAGTTGAGATTACCGATTCTTTGAGAATTCAAATCCTCGTCCTTCCTAGCAACTTTTTTTTGAAAATTTTTCGCTTTTAACGGCATTTTTCGGGGATTTCGGATTTTTTTCGAATTTTTTCGCTATAATATTGGGAAAATAGACTACTTTTCAAACATTTTAATGCAATAAAAATTTTTGGTCGGAGACCCCTTTAATGTAAAATAAACCAAAGTTTGAGTCAATTTATCTCGGTCCATGATAAAGATATCAGCATAATATTTTCAAAAAATTTTGTCAGTTTATCATTTTTAAATATCTTTAACAGGAACTTTGAAAGGAGATAAATTGAGTCAAAATGTGGGACCAATTTAAGCGTCGGCGCTACCGTAACAGCTGAGCTGAGTGGTCGCAAGCGTAGGATGTCAAATTTGTAAACATCGATAACTGTACATCGTCACGCAAAACTGCAGTCTCTCAAAAAATATTTACGGTTTCACCTAGCCTATTATAATGTTTCATTGTTTCATTGGCCCAATGTGTAAAATTCCAATAGGTATTTAGAAAATCAGCAAAAATCGTTGTCAATAAAAAAATTGTAAAACACCGATTTTTAAAACATTTTTGATACTCGTGAGACATTAAAAGAGCAAAAATAAGGTTCTACAGATTCATAGAACCTGAAAAACAGTTTTGGTGAAAATCACTCTTCTACCGCGTAGCTCAGACGGTAGTGATACGGTACTTCTAATATTTTGCTCCCAAGTTCAACTTTCCGTGGAGCTCCTATGGAAAAAAATAACAGTAAAATCGATCCTATATAAATTTTGGACGCCACCCCAACTTTGTCCTGGCTGCACCTCCACAAACATCCGAAACCTGCGCTTTGAACACTTTCAAGAGGGTCCCCCATTCCCGACGTCTTCTTTTTTTTCTATGTCTTTATTTTTTTTTTTACTCTTGCACATCTTCTTTTTTGTCCCCCCACACAGTAATATGCGTACGTACGCACGCCATTTGTGACGTAGTGGTGTGTGAAAGAAAAGACACTTGAAAAGTTTCAGAAAAAGAGGACCAGAAAATACAAAAAAGCATACCACAAAAAATAACGGAAGAAAAAATAGGGAGTGAAGTTAGAGAGTATGGAAGAGGAAGAGAAGCAGAGTACACTGGGGAAGTCCTTTTTTGGAGGGGTTGACTTTTTTGGGCCACTTTTATAAGGCTCCATTTTTTAGAACAGAAGTTCTCGAAAATAAATATTTTGGAGAGAATAGATAAATCAAATAAGGTCAAATTTTGTTTTTAAAAGAAAAAAGTTGTTTTTGGAAACCAGGGGCTTCTAAAAATCATATCACTCGAATTAGATCAAAAGTGGACTATAGGTCGAAAAATATTTTCCGGAGCAATTTTACCAACGGCTTCTTCCGACTTTAATTCTTTGGAATCTAAAATAGATCAAAATGAATGTCTTGATTCAGGTCGTCGGAAGCATTATTTGGGCGGAAAATTGAAAAATTCAGCCATTTGGAGAAGAATTATTGGTGTAATTTAAATGTCTTATTTATTAATGTCCGGAATATACTGATAAAAAGTTTTACAGGAGAATACTGAAAAAAAGTTTTATTTTTTTCCAGTTTCTGAGAATCCATAATTTTATCAAAGGCTCAAAAAACTATTTGTTTTATTTTCAAAAACTTTTTGAAACAATTAAATTCCTAAAAATTCGAAATCCGTTTTTTAAAGCTAGGTAGGTATAGAATTCGAAAGTGAATTCTTATTGTTAGCTTTTTTGAATACACAACGCTGCAAAAGTTACGCTAGCTACTAGCCAAAAAAACTATCAGATTTTCGAAACAGTGGTTTTCGAAATTTCTAAATTATACACTTATTTAAAAACCAGTAATAGAAGGACCCTCCTATATTACCTTGGAACAATAGACGAGCTGGCTCTTCTAATACATGTTGTACGGTATAAGAAATCTTTTTCAATTTGAGAGAATTATGTAGATATTTTTGAAAACAAAATCTGTTTCAAAATCTAGTTTTCCATTTCAGAGAATTATTCAGCCGATGACATTTAAGCTGCAGGCTTTCTTAATAACAGTTCAAGTCGTAAAAATAAAAAGAATATTCGAAAGTTCATAAACTGAAATCAAAGAAATAATGAAATTGGAGAATACATTCAAACTTTCACAAAACTCCGAAACGGAAAAAAAACAATAAAATCTGGAAAATGGAAATTTAACACTATTACTCTTGTCTTGAATCAATGAACGTGGAGAGCAAGAGTCCCGTTAAAGGCGCATTCAAATGCGCAAGAACGAATTACCGTATTTTTAAAGGCGGAGGGACATGATAATATAAAAATTAGCTTTGGAGTATGTGTAGTATTGATGTAATTTATGTGTATTATTTTTTGAATGTCTCGAAACAGGAATTTCAGACATATCAAAAAAATCCATTCGAAAGGTCAGAATTCAAATTCTTCTAATAAATTTGACAGTAAAAGATAACCTCTTAAGCCAGTACCAATCTAGATAAAAGTCCAGAATAAATCCGAATTTTCATGAAAATCTAAAAACAGAGAACATTAGATTTCGAAAAAGCAATTTTCCCAGTATTACTCCTGTCCAAAATTAATTGAGAGCGGGGGTTTTGGTTAAAGACGCACGTGAAGGCGTAAGAGGAACTACCGTATTTTTAAAAGTGGATCACCCTTTTTATCCGCCCCGCAAGTTTGACTGCTCATTTACCTAGAAAACGAAATAAACTGTTTTTTTTAATTGTCCCTCCTCCTTTGAAATCTTCAGACAAGTCAAGAACGGAAAAAAAACCACCCACACATTTTAAATGGACCCCATCATTTATTTTTCTTGATCAGCAGTCTCTTTTATTTTTTTAATTCCAAGAATAAATGTAAAGTGATCCCTGTTCGGACATCAAATACTAATGAGGCAGGGGGGGGGGGAACCAACAAAACAAGAACGCTTTCTTTTGTTTTTTTTTCAAATATTTTTTTCCAAAATAACGGGAGATTCTTGTAAACGGGGAAAATTTGCACAATGAGCTAAAAAGTAAGGAGTTCAGACAGAGAAGAAGATAATTATATGTGTATAAAAATAATAATCGCGGAGTTTATATACAACTTCTCGGAGCAAGAGAAAAAACAAAGGAAAGTGGGTGGAGATGATGAACGAGTACGGAAATTCGAAAGGCGGTAGATCTTTTTTGGGTACTTTGGACCACCACAAATTGAATTGATTAGGTTAAAGGGTCTCCAAAACAAGAGCCAAAAAAGGTTGAGTGGTCTCCTGGAAGGTGCCAGGTTCCACCCCCACGAATTCAATTGTTCCTCCCGCACTGGTCAAAAAAAGGTATTCTTTATACTTGGAAGGGGAAACGTGTGCTTTGGTTTGTGTACTTTTTGGAAAATTCGGGGGAATAGGAGATCCAATAAACACAGTTGAAATGTGCAGAAGATTTTTGGAGTTACTTCTAAAAAGTTTTGTTGGATGAGATTGAAAATGGCCAGGTGTTATAAACAAAAAACAGAACTTTAACTTTGTATAGATTCCAAAGAACCGAATAAAGTCCGTAAAAATCCAATCATCATGAAATTCCAGAAATAGAAAAATTGGGTAATCAGTATTTACCATTGTTGGACTTTGTGGATAACGATTTGCATTCTTACTACTCAAAATAAACTTTGAAAGCTAAACGAAAGAACACTTTTTGAGATAGTTTTGAAGTGTGATGATCGGTTTCTTTTAATACCGTAAAAACTCTAGCCATGGCACTCTATTGTTCGAAAGTGGTCTGGGGTGGCATTGTATTAGGGGGTGGCATTCAATTAGAGGCTGGCACTTTATTGTTCGGAGCTAATTTCTACTGAAACTTACCACAAAAGTGCTCGATTTTCAATTCTTTCATAAAATGACTTCCGAGGTTTTCTTGATATTTCTACTTACTTTTTAGAAACTTTCCAAATTTGATATTATCCTGACACATTTTTTACAAATACAGCACCTCTTTTAAGCTTGAAAAAAAAACTAGAAAAGCAGAAAATGATTATTTTTTTATTCTTTAACTTTTACCACAGTGCCATAAAATCCGCAGTGGCATTATATTACTCTATTGTTCGGAGGTGCTCTAGGATGGCACTATATTAGAGGCTGGCATTCAATTAGGGGTGGCTATCTAATAGAGTTTTTACGGTAAGTCATTAGTGTATACCCGGATTTTCCATCGCGTAGCTCAGTTGGTAACGGCGCAGCACGTTCAAAAAATTGCCCATTAGTTCAACTCCTCGGTTACTTATCTAGGGAAGATTATAGGGAACGTTTTTTTTTTCAAATTTACCATGACATTTGAAATTGGAAAAATTATGTTCGTTACTGTTTCAAAGACTAATTTTCGGAATCTATTCATCTATTTCAACACTTTGCTCATCGGTCTAATCCCAAGAAAGACAGGAGATTTTTCGTAGTTTTTTTGTAGCTAGAGTATGCATTCTACCGTCACGGTGTACATCGCTTTCTCTTTGCCCGCGTGGCTCAGTCGGTAGCGGCGCCGCACCCTCAATCATCGCCCTCACAAGTTCAACTCCTCGAGGGGCATATTTAAAAGGAATTTCGAGGACATTATTTTTTCATGTCTCCCCACCTTTAAAGGAAAATCGACGAAAAATGAAATCATTGAAACATACTTTTTTTTCAGAAAAAAAAACGTTGGAATAAAAATTGTAGGAAAATCTGGAAATTCGTCCATTTCTGGAAACTTCTAGTGATACCTTGTGTTTCCAGAATTTTTTCAAAGATTAGAACATCTTTAAAAATAACAGTTTTGGCGGAAATGCAAAAGAAAACCAAAAACTTTCTAGAAGTTTCCAGACGACTTGAATTTACCACTGTGGCAAGAAACAAATCAGGATTTCAATATAAGTTTTCTGAATTTTCAATCTTTTTGAAAAATGTTGCAATTTCAAAAAAATTAAATTTTTACTAAAAAAAAAGAGACGAACGAAAATACCTTTGTTTCAATATTGTTACCCATTAAATGAAACAGCAACTTTTTGAAAACTCTCTCCAACCCAGACAATATCAGGGATCAGAAAATAGCTAATTCCAAAAGTTAATCCAGTTCCAGTTCCACTTTACGACTTTTCCTATTTCCCCGTTGAACAGAAAACACGATTTTTAATCCGAGTAGCTTTAAATCAGAAGGTGATCCGAACGGTTTCTGTGCCTTGAGCCGTAAGGCTTAAGGATCAGATTTTTAAAGAACTAATATCAATAAAAAAGATAATCCTAAAGAAATAAACTAAATACTTTTTTATTAGAAGTACAAGAACTGTTCTCTGAACCAAAAATATTCTCTCTTTTTTTTCAAAATTACTCTCTGATTTTTTACACCAAGCACGATTTCTTGTTTTTCATTTAAAAGTTGGTCAGGAACCAGAGAGCAAAATGTTTTTGTATCCTTCCGGTCAAGGTGCAGAACAAGATTCGTGTTGCAGAAGTGTTTTTGAAAATCTGATGAAAATCGGGTGTTTTTAGATTGGTGTCCAACTAGACATCAATCTGAAGTTAGTGGTGGTTGGTGTAATATTTTTATAAGGGAATTTTGAAGAATTGGGGAACATTTTGTAAATTTAAAACCTTTGAGATTGCGTAAAGGAGGTGTACAGTGCAAATAATTTGGAGGGTAAAACAATTCGGGATACGAATGGGTACAAAGCGATTTAGGAGTAATACCGTAAAACCTCTAATAGAACGACACCCGGATCGTCCACTTTGAGCCTATATATCTCATTTTCTGTGAAATATATCAAAAAGTGGCTAACTAGTAAAATGTTGCTGATATCCTGATAAACATTTTACTAGTTAACCACTTTTTGATATCTTTCAAAAGAAGTGAGATATATAGGCTCAAAGTGGACGTTCCGGGTGTCGTTGTATTAGAGGTTTTACGGTAAATGCGCTATTCGGGGGCACAAAACACCTGAAAAATTCGTTTTGTACTCCCAAATTAAATTTGTACTCCCAAATCGTACCCTTAAATAGCTTCTTACCCAAACGACCACTAAAATGAGTACTTTTTGCCTTTTTATGCTCCACCAGCATGTTTGCCGCGCCTCCGGCGCTTCAAACAGCTGGATAGTGCGTCTTCGGCGCGATTGTACTGTTCGTCGCTCCGCTCCTCATTTTTTCATTTTTCTTTCTCAATGTTGAGTTAGGACCGTCTCAATTTCTCAGTTTCCAAATTTCTTAAGTTCCGAATTAGAAATTCTGAAAGTCAAAACTCGAAGTCTTTCGAATTAAAAAAATCATGAATTAACCTTCCGAAAATGTGGACATTCGGACTTGAAACTTCTGAATATTGACAATGAAGAGTTTTGGAACTTTCGATTTTTTTGTAACTGATCCCTAAATCCCCAATTGTCTTACTTTTACAATTTCTGGATATCTTTATTTTAGACATTCCAAATACTCAAACTTCTGAATATCCAAAGATTCGAATTGAGACCTTGAAAAGAATAAGCGCGGAAGAATTTCTATTAGTAAATCTCAGAAAAGTTTTTAAACTCTTTTTAGCTTTGCGCCTATGTAGTCTAAGTTAATGCCATGGCGTTCTATTTTAAATGAATAGCTGGGAGAAAGCTCTATTAGAGGGTGGCATTCTATTCTTCAACACTATTTTTTGCGGAAAAATTTTGCAAAGATTCTTTTCGGACCCTACCGAAACAGAAACTGTGAAAAGGCAAAGAATAGAAGAAAACAAAAATTTTAAAATAATCAAAGAAAATTTTTCAAAAAGAAAAAACACCTAGCGTACCGCACAATAGGTCAGCCCGCTCCAGGGATGTTCGGAATGCCCTGCTCGGAATTTTCCTGAATGTCAAAAATTAGATTTCCAAAATTTAGGAGTTTCGGAAATGCGAAATTTTCAGATTTTCAAAATGTTAAAATTTCGGAATATTCGGAGTTTTCAAAAATTCAAGTTTTAAAGTAAAAATTCAATTCTTAATGCACAAAAACGCCAAAAACTGGTGAAAATTGACAGAAAGATTTCGACAGCGCAAAAAAAATATCAAACGTAAGTTCGCTCTTGACCTGCAAGCAAATGTTTGGCGTGGGTCTTTGACATACCGTAGTTCAAAAATCTCTAATTCCGAAAAAAGAAGCTTTGGAAAAATTCCGATCGAGATGGGATTCCGAAAAAAGGAGACATTCCAAAAAAAATTTTCGGAATTTTTCCGGTAGAAATTCTATTCCGAGAATGGTCATAATTCCGAACTCCGTTCTGAACATCCGTGGCTGACTGTAAGAATCAACAGATTGATAATCTGGTAACGTTATCAATTTCGCAAAGTTGAAATCATCAAAGTTGATTTCGACCTCCTCCTACAAAATAATTTTCCACCAGATCCGATTCCACCTCCACCAGCTCCGATTCTGCCTCCACCAGATCCGATTCCGCCTCGACCAGCTCCGATTCCACCTCCACCAGCTCCGATTCCGTCCCCACCAACTCAGATTCCGCCTCCACCAGCTCCGATTCAACCTCCACCAGATCCGATTCCACCTCCACCAGCTCCGATTCCGCCTCCACCAGATCCGATTCCACCTCCACCAGCTCCGATTCAACCTCCACCAATCCGATTCCGCCTCCACCAGATCCGATTCCACCTCCACCAGCTCCGATTCAACCTCCACCAGATCCGATTCCACCTCCACCAGCTCCGATTCCGCCTCCACCAGATCCGATTCCACCTCCACCAGCTCCGATTCTGCCTCCACCAGATCCGATTCCGCCTCGACCAGCTCCGATTCCGCCTCGACCAGCTCCGATTCCGCCTCCACTAGCTCCGATTCTGCCTCCACCAGATCCGATTCCGCCTCGACCAGCTCCGATTCCGTCCCCACCAACTCAGATTCCGCCTCCACCAGCTCCGATTCAACCTCCACCAGCTACATCATTAGCTTCGATTCCGCCAATAATTCATCAGCTTCGATTCCGCCAATAGCTTCAGTCCCAACGGCTGCAGGACCGAGGACCCAGTACTCCGGCTCCCTGAGCTGCGGCTCCGGCTCCGGCTACGGTTCAGAGAGCTCCAGTTCCTTCCAGCTGGATACCAGTTCTCCTTCGAGAACTGACGTTTCTCACTGTTTCTCTCTTCCCTTATATGCAAAAATCCAGAGATCTTATCTCTGTGCTCCATTTTTTCCACTTTTTTAAAACGTTTTTTTTCCAAAACGTGAAATTTTTCTTCAAATATATTTTTTGATTTTTTTTTCAAAAATAAGTTTAATTTTTTCACGCGCCATATGATAATCACATTTGAATCTTTTTTCTTTAAATGCGCAGTTCGTGTAGTGGTATACACTGTTGACCTTGCCAAAGTGTGTGAAGTTTTAAGACGAGCATTTTATTAGTTGATAAAATTTTGATATCTCTTACATTAATTGAGATAGGATCCTCAATATATCGCCTAAAAACCAAAAAACGGCAAAGGAAAGCACTAGCCGAGGGTTGAACCAAAAACCATTGTCAAGAGTCTGGAGCTCGACTATTGCTACCTTTATTGTTACCTATTATTGATACCTATATTATTTAAATCCTATTTCGAGTCCATGGCTAAACAAAAAAAACTGGAGTATTTTATTTAATAGAGACTTTACAGACATTTTCAAACGGCTAAAAACAGAAAACCTTATTTTTCCAATCTTACTTTCTTTGAAAATGTAAAGATGATAATTTTCCATCTTTACAAAAAATCTAAAACTTTTTAAAAAGATTGGTACTTCACTAACATTAAACCAGTCGGTTTGAGCCACCTTTCAATCGTTTCCTCTTCCGTTTTCAATTTTGCAAAGTTGAAATCATCAAAATCGACTTTGATCTTTCCATTTTTTTTTTTGAAATCTCGTTCCCTTCAAAATGCACATCAGCAATCGAATTAGTCAACAACCACCTGCACAGCACATGAATCAAATTTCCCATCTGAACGTTCTCTATTTCGTTATTCCACCACATCTCGAATCGACAGATTCGTGTCCATCTTGAGATCTCAAAACTGATAGAGTGTATCGAATTGAGAGACGCAGAGATTTTGATGCAAATTCTAGATGACAGAAATTTCGTCTCTTATCACCTCTTCTTTTTTTGTGTATCAGTTAGTTCAACCGACGCACCCCGAATCGCAAAAGAAGACGAAAGACGAAGAGGAACGAAAATTCTCGGGCGGTGCAGAAAATTGACCGTATGTAACATAAACAATGAGGAAAAAAGGAAAAAGGAGACAATAGAAAAAAGAAGTGCACCATTTATGATTACAATAGAGAAGAGCAATTATCACTTTCTTGTCTAATTGCTCAACGTTATTTATGGTCCTTTTGGGAAGTGCCGAGGTTTGAGGAGGTTTTTGGTTTAGGATTATTGTGCTTCGGTGTCAAATTAAGGGGGTGGGAACTGATTCTTGGGGTAAACCCAATAGAATTAGAAAAAAAGTAATTCAGAAGAAAAAGAGGACGATGACCATGCAACGTGTTCAGAGGTGAGTGACAATAATTAGGCGTGAATAAATTCATATTCGATGATTTACCAAAATTTAAAAACAGAAAAGCATGAATATGGATTGAGCGAAATTGCTGCAATTCTTCATGTGACTGATAAAATGCTTTTAAATTATCAAAAACATTTTGATGGCTAAACGATTTTTGATATCTTCTACAGGGACCGAGATAAGTTGAATTGAAAAAGTTCAATTAGAGTTTTACGGTAGATCAACCAGATTTGTTTTCCAATTTTCTCGGTTTCTGAACAGGGATAAGTAAAGTAGTTTAAATTCACAGGCATTGAGAATCTCTCACAATTTAATTTAATATGGGTTCAGAATTATACTGAAAATTTCTGTTCACTTAAATCGTTTTTATCATGGATCATATATTATATCGGATTCCGCTCAATCAACCTTATGAACTACTTGTAACAGGCAATTTCTTTTTTTCGTTTTGGGTTTCTTATTCCTGGTTCCGATAAATTAATGTTATTCAGGATTCCGTTTTCCGAACTCCGTTTCGCAATGAAAGTTTTTATACATAATTCGAATAGGCGACTTTGTGAAAATTCAGTACCGTTTCAGAAATATCTTTTCCCTGTCCCCATTAGTCTTCAACTTAATCATCTTATGGGAACTTGATGACACAATTCTTTCAAAATCTTTAGGTCACATCTACACTTTTCTTACGCCAGATCTTCATAAGTTTTGGTTGTTCACAAAGGAAATTCCTATTATTCATAAAAGGGTGTCCAAACTATGCGATTCGAGATTTTCGGAAAGATATTCATCATTGGTAGGAGTATCAACATCTCTTCAAATTTCGAATCAAATTTATGATCTGCTTGTAACAGGCAACTAATTTCTGTTAATCAAAAAGGTTTTTTTCATCAGGATTTTTTGAAATGGGTTAATTTCATTCAAAAAGCGGTAGCATCCTACGTATTACATCTGAAATATTTTTCAGCAATTACTAATTTTCTGAAATAGTGATTTTTTAAAAATTTGATTTATCCAATTTTCATTTGAACGTCACGAGCAAAATTGAATGAGCTTATGGGGCGCACACAACCAGCTATAACCCAATTTTTCTCGTTTTCTGCAAAATATATCAAAAAGTTATCAACTGACAAAATGTTTCTCTTAATATCAACAAAACTTTGCCAGTTTATCAACTTTTGATATCCGTGACAGGAGCCGAGATAAATTGAGTCAAAGTGAGGGACCCGCTAATAAAAAATGCGTCCAAATGATTGGAAACTGTAACTTTTTCTTTCTATAGTTCATTACATCGCAGATGGCCGGATTTCGCAAAAATGTATTTCCTTTCATCAGTGCTACAGTAGTGCTGATTTATTATTTCGCCAGCCAACTGTCAATAACTCATTCCACTAATCTACACCTTGTTTAAGGACACAGTGCACTCTTATCTCTCCTTTCAAGGGGTCCCCTTTAAAACAAAGAACACCCATTCTTCTTGTCCTTGAGCGACAAACTTCGCGTAAGATTAGATAATTGTATGTGTACATTTGCATTCAATACAATAGAAACATACAATACCAGGTCGACTCCGCCCCCTCTAGACATCAATGGGGTCCCAAGTGCATTCTGGGTACGTTTTGTAGATAAGATGGACTTATTAAGAATGTCTTTGCCACCTCATCCATATTTCTACTTTGCCCACTTTCTTTTTTTTCGATTTCAACAGACTTGACCGAATAAGGTTATCACTATTCATTCTGATGTCATCATAAGCAATTGTGAGAAATGTGACCCAACCTGTGGGGGTGGGGGGTGGGGGTAGAGATTTAAAAAGGGATTTGAACTCGGTCATTATTCAAAATGATACATTATGTATGAAGTCTATGTTTTGAAACTGTATAATGTTTTTGATGAGAACAAATTTTCACGGTTCCATGAAAGTATTAAATTATAGAAAAAGGATTCTCGATACTTTTCGATGTAGTCTTTGGTTTGAAAAATGAGCACCTATTTTACAAATTTAAAATCTTGTCGGAGAATTCGCTCTTTTTTGGCTGCAATTAAATCCATTCTATGGAAACTATAGATAAAATATCGTTCTCATAAGTAGATCATAAGATTTTTAACTGTTTCAGAAAGATAGCAACTGCATGAAAATTTAACTGATTTATTGACTTATGTACAAAATTTTGATTCCGTAATCCAACAATTTCAAAAATTGAGTTCTTTTGATTTCTGAAACAATACATTATGTAGGAAGTCATTGTGTTGAAACTGTGAAAACTTTTTTGATGAAAACATTTTCATAATTTTTACAGTTCCATGAAGTTGTAAATTCTAGACGTAGGGAAGCGACTCATTATGGAGTTCGTTCATCGACTTAAATCGGTTTAAATATGATAACAGATCAATTATCGTTTTCGAAGCTAACAAGCTTGTTTTCACTGTTTCAGCAAAATAATAATTGCACAAAAACTTGACTTACTCCATTCGTATCTTTGCGGCAACCTTAACATTCTGGGTCTCTTATTTTAATTCCTATGGAAATTTCCGAAGTTTTTTGATTTTTCGTACGTAATGTGATTTTTCATGGTTTCATCAGAACTAAACTGAAAAATCTCTGATCATGTTTAAAATGTAGGTGCTTATATTCCGCTGGAAAACGAAAAAAATGCGCTTGAACTTCAAAAAATAGTTGAAACTTTTCAGCTCATTACATCGATTTTTTGCTGGAATCCTTATTTTTTCGCGAGTTCATTTCAGTTTTTAGATCATTTTAGATGCAAGTGAGCTTCTCAAGTTATTTCCCAAAAAGGATAAAATATTTATGAAACTGCAAGAAAGACTTGGATCAGCTGAAAGTTTTTTCTAAACAAATGAAAGGGGGACATGGGGATTTTTCTGGATTGTAGTTCAACTCCTCGAAGATCCAATTTTTTTTCAATGTTGTCTTTGGAAGTTGTGATTTTACTGCTTTTGATTGGACCACGAATCAAACTGAACCTAAAACAGATTACTAAAATCTAATTGATGAAGCAGCAAATTTTTTGGAGGACCTAAAGTTTTCTGTTTCAAATAACTGACAAATTTTTTAAGTTTTGGTTTCCGATGTTTTTGTACGAAACCGTATACTAAAAAATCACAAAAAATTTCTCCGGTTTTCCCAACTTACCGCTGACAAAAAAGGTTTTTTTTTTCAATTGTCCTTAAATATCCTATTGTTCCTTTTTCAACCAAAAAATTAAGATTCTAGATGGAAGCGGTGAAATGATCAGTAGATTTTGAATAATTTTTTTGGCGCTTTATTTGAATATTGGTAAACTTTTTTACCTTTTGAGATTGCGTATTAAACAAAACACATAATAGAATCCTAAAATCTTATCGATGAAGCAAAATATTATTGTTGAATTACATTCATGGCTGTTTCAAATGACTGTCAAAATGTTACATTTATGGATTACAGATGCGGTATAATAAAAACCACTTCAAATTTCTTCGGTTTTTATTCATTTTCGCTGACAAAAAATGTTTCCACAAAAACAGTGATAATCCAAATGACCAATGTTCCAATGATCACTTTCTCCTTCGTCTAGAGAACCTTCAAAAATAATATCACCCACAAAAAACCGGGAATGACGTGGAAGAATCCCATTTTAGATGTTCCAGCATTTTCTTTCGGGGTGGGCAAAGTGTAATTAGGAGTCCCAACTTAGGAACACCATAGTCTTTATGTTCCGGGTCAAAGTTTACAAAAAAGTTTATAAGAGATTTGAAAATTTCGTTCGAAATGTTTTTGTTCAATTTTACTTTGAAATTCGTATACTGTATGTCAGACACTATTAATCATCATCAATCAACCAAAAAAAACTTTTGATGAAAAATGAACCCCTCTTGCAAAAAGATAAGTGATCTCTCTTATCACTGTTTTTTTCTGTTTCAAGGCCTACTAGGGGCGGGATTTTTCTGGGGTCAGGTACACTCCTCCCTTATTCTCTTATCACTGATAATTGGTCTGAGGTATTCTGAATTCAGAAGTATTCAGAAGACGTTTGGGGAGTGTAGGGTTCATTATTTTTATTATGGAATCATCAAATATTCCCTATGTACTTGAGGAGAATTCCGCCAAACCGAAGAGGTATTTTTTCACTGCTTTATATTGTAGAAATTAATTAAGGGGTTCGATGATAATTGCTGTGGTGATTATATCAACACATTTGATTAATCCAAAATTTGAGGTTAAGGCAAATTTTGAAATTTACTGTTTCATATTTAGGAGTTAGAGGGAAGGTTTAGTCAAACTTTCGATTGGTGAAGTTCAGCTAAGTCGGATTCTACTATTCAAACGAATTATCGAAAATACAGTTTCCTCGCCAATTTTCGGTTACAGAAACCCCCAAAAATCCTCAAAAAACACTAATTATGTACTCACACTTTAAGCTCAATTACCTTGTTTCCTATGAGTGATATCAAAAACCTTTCAACTATTTTTTTTTAATGTTTATCATTGTATCACCAACATTTTCTTAGTAGGCAAGATTTTAATATCTCTCATGAGAACCGAGATGATTGAGTTCAAAGTATAAGTACGCGCTCTAAAGACGATCTTGTTACAAAATTCAGTCCTATCGCTTTAGGATTAGCTAAGACTCATAAAACGGATTTTTTGTCAATAGTTTGGAAAGTCAAATATAATTTTTTGAACAATATTACTTACTCTTTCATCCCACTATCCATTGAAATTTTTATAAAAATTAGATATCTTACTGAAACAGATAAATCTAATTTTTCTATGACCGATAAGAGTACCCTTTACCTTTCACTAATATGATAGTGGACATCGATTCTCGTAGGAATGTGTGTTCTGATCTTCGTGACCTACCGTAACCTCTAACTTTCTGCCTGATCTCTTGAAATATCAACCCCTTACATCACAATTTCCAGGTTTTGGATGGAACTAACCCCCAGACGTCATGAACTCCTCTGTACATACCTTCTCGGAATCGGAACGCTCTTTCTATACACTGGATACTCGTTGCAGCAGTTTATTGGAGAATCAGTCATCCATTCGATCCACGAAAAGTCGCCAGACACTATCTCGGCATATGCAGGGTATTATGGGTGAGTAAGCTCTAAATTTCGAATTTTTCAACATGACTTACATTGCTTGTTATCCATTAAGCCAATTTTCTTTGTTTTCTGTGAAGTATTTTCAAAAAAGTAGTCAACTGGCAAAACATTCGTAATAATGTGAAACACATTTTGTCATCTGGACATGTTTCAGTACCTCTTCCTGTAATCAAGATAAGTTGGCTCAAAGTTATAGGGTTCCTTCTATTAAAGGCTTCCTGTTTCACACAATTCATAAGGCCGTAGTTCCATTATTTGTTTTTAATATACTGAATGTTTTTAATATACTTTCAAAAAGCTGAAAATATAACCTTTTCAGAGCCGCTTTCCATCTATCGGCATTCGCAGTTTGTACACTTATCACCCCATCCCTTCAACATTTTGTTCCGAGTAAATGGTTCCTGACACTGGCTTCTGCACTTTTTGCAGTTTATTATCTTGGATTCTTCCAACTGAATAAGTATTACTTCTATCTGACACAAGCTCTCATGGGTATTGGATATTCTTGTGAGTTTTATAATGATCCCAACACCTCATTTTCTGAATTTGATGACTTTTTTCAGTCTACAACAACGGAGAGGGACAATATTTGTCCGAGCACTCGTCTCGTAGAACGATTGAATCGAATACTGGAATCGAAACAGCCGTCGGACACGCCAGTATGTTCTTCGGAGGAATTGCACTGATTGTGCTCTGTTTCTTGTTGCACACGGAAGGAGGAAATGGAATTGAGTACTCGGATTTGCAGATCAGGTGAGTAAAAAATGTCGTGGTGGCAGGTTTACGGTATATGTACATCTCGAGCCAAAGAATTTCGAAACTTCACCTTAAAATTTTTCAGATTCATCTACGGAACAATGTTTATTTTGAATGTGTTTTCTGTCATTGTTTTCGCCTTCCTTCCCACCAAACAATACGATTCCATCGCATCGAAATCCTCAACAGTGGTCCCATCGTTTGCCAATCAGATCAGTGAGTTTCTGATTATGCCCCCCTCTAATCCTCTGCAAGATATCGAAAATCTGTCAAATGCTAAATTATTCTTCATGAAGTCATCTTTTTGAATAAATAGCACTAATGTCTTGAACATTTTACTCTTTTTTAATATGATTCTTATGAAACAGAAGTTATTTAAACTCACAATCACTAATCTTAATAATTCAAAACCTTTTTGCAGAACAACTTCTCAAAGCCTTCCAATCGAAAAACCTGCTCATTCTGATGCCATTTTTCTTCTTTCAAGGATTCGCCGTATCATTTTTGATGACTGTTTATCCAACGACACTTTCCTTCACATTTGCATTCAGAACTGATATTTATATCATTGGAATTTATTCTGTATCCATGGGATTAGCTGAAGCTATTGGTGAGTTTTCAAAAAGCAAAAAGAACGTATTCAACAAATTGAAATCTCTTTAATCGCTTTTTCAAAAAACCTATTCAAACTCAATTCATGTGAATATCTCATGAAAAAAAAACGAAAAGATGCATTGTATGTTTGATAGACAAGCGATTCCGTTAACTTATCACATTAATCTTGTTTCAATGAAAACAAAAAAGAATGAGAAAAAAAACTGAACAAATCAGAGGGAAGTTTTGTGAGGAATCATAAAATTTTGGAACTCATAAAAAGTTTTTCCTATTTCAAATCGTTAGTTTCTTTGATCATTTTCCTATGCGATATTGTGAGATGCAGGGTTGGAAACTGAAAATGAATTCAAAGATGATTCGGGACAAAAGAAACCATACTTGCAAACGACCTGGGCTTTTTGTTAAAAAATGTTTTTTGAGCTCTGTAAAATTTTCAAACCCTCCTAAAAATGCATCTTTTTTTTCCAGGTGGAATCTTCCTCCGCCCACTGCTCAAAAGAGCCGGTGACTACGGCCTGTATGTGATCGCAGCCACCAATTTCCTCTCCTATTCCATTATTATCATCCTCGCAGTTTTATCAATTCCAAATCTTGCAACTTTTGGACCAACCAATTCCGCTCCTCTCTTCTTGACTCCAAGGTACTGTTTTTCTTTTCAGTTCTTACACCCGGCGGTCTAAATATCCGTGAAGAACCGTAATTCAAAGTGACAGATGTTGTTTCTTCAATGGGTGGTTTTTTATCAGTTCTTTGATATGGGGAAATAATACGAAATCTTATGGAACAAAAAAATAGAAGTGGGATGATTGTAGAAATGAATAGAAAAATATGTAATTTCAATTAGAAAATCAATGTGTTACCTGAAATTCATTACAAACGATAATTTTCAGTCATATGTAATCAATATCATTGATTTTGAAAAATTTCTATTTCACAACTTCTAGAAACTGTGAAACCTTTTTTATTTCGAAATTATTAGGGTTGGCTTGGGGGCGAAAAAAAGAAAAAAAAGTGGTCCCCGCCCCGCACACCAATTGACTTTAAACTCTGGACCAATTGACTTTAAACTTTCAGGGTAGCCTAATTGGGTACCCTGAACCGTAAAAAAATTGCAAAAATTTGGTTACTGCTTCATTCAACGAACTGCTTTTTTCCACAAGCGGGGCGGTGGTGAATCCCCGCCCCGCTCTCTGGGGCGAGAGCGCATCCCCGCCCCGCGCGCTCGGGGCGGGGGCGAATCCGTTGCCAACCCTAGAAATTATTTCAATCGCAACTGATTTCCTATGTGTTGTTCTCAAAATGTTATGCATTTCTTTAAATCAAAAAGTGGGATCCAGTTGACAGCCTAGAAATTATAAAATCAGTTATTGAAATCATGAAACCCTGAATTTCTGTTTTTCCAACTTTATAAATTGGGTCTAATCTAGTAGAGCTGCTTTCCACTTTGATTTTCGAGACTGGATACTTCAAAATGTCACAGCAAAACCTAGCAGGAAAACTATGATTTTAAAAATTGCTATTTCACAACTTCCAGATATTGTAGAACTTTATTATTTTGGAATTGATCTGAAACAGTTCGTTTCCAAAACAAAATTTTTTGCAGTCGCCTTCTTGTGTTCATCATCGGATTCCTGATTGGATTCTCAGATTTCTGTGTCACAATGGCACGTGCCGTCATTTGTCAAGTTGCTGTGCCCGACTGTCGTATGCAGGTCTTTTCGTTGTCCAAACTGTATCAGGTACGCACATTTTGGGTCCAAATTTAGTTTGAAGGTTCGATCCGAATTGAAAACAAATTTTCTCCTAACAATATTGTCTATTCAATAAAACGTGGGCGCGCCGCAGGTTGCAAAGTGACACGCCCCTTTATGAAACGCGCGAGAAGAGGGAAAAGGGAACGCGTTCCAAAAAGGGGCGTGTCACTTTGCAACCTGCGGCGCGCCCACGTTTTATTGAATAGACAATACTGGAGCCTCAAATCAGCTGAAAACGAAATCTGTGAAACAGCAATAATCTCTCACTGAAAATATCAACCTTACTGTTGCATTATTTTGAATTTTTCATCTTCCTCATTTTGCAGAGTGGTTCCTCAGTAGTGGTGCTTCTTCTGACTCCTTACATGACAATCTACATTTGGCTATGCGTACTTACCGTATTCCTTTTCGTCGGTACCTTTGGATTCGTGATCGTTGCTCGACGTACAGCCGCTGATCGTCAGAAGCACTCGGTTGCTCATCCTTCTCAAGCACAACTCGCTGATAAAATTTAATTTGACGAATTCTGAATTTATTTCGGATTTATTATTTTTAACACATTTCTGGTTTCCGATCTCCCCTTTCTTCTCTGAAATAAAACTTCTCAAAAAATGTTTTTTCTTGTTCTGAGAAAAATTTATATATTTCGAAAGTATTGGAAAAGCGAACCATGAAAAGCAGAAATACTATTGGACTTTATCAGCATAATTTGAAACAGTAATCAAAAGTAAAAAACTGTATATCTCAACTTTTGTATACAAGCAAAGAAAACACAATATTTATTTCTGGAAAAAATAAAATGATCGAAAACCGAAAAAATTAATCTTGGTTCAGTTGGGTTGAATACTGGGATTACAGGATAGATTTATTTTTGAAAAATGGGTAAAAATAAATAAAAATTCTTGATTTTTAAAAAGATTTGAAAATTAAGAAATGGAGCAGACAGAAGTGCGGCTCTGATCGGAACGGGTTCTAGAAGAGGACTCGTGCTGAAAAATTGAATTTTTTAGTTCTTTCATACTTATTTCTGCGTTTTCATATTTTCCTGTTTCAAAAAATTGATAACTCGAGATTATGATTTTGGCGTCGGGAATATAAAATAAACATTAATAACTTTCACAAGAATACCGTATTTTTGATTTTATTGTAATTTACAGATAAAATTGTCACCTTTGTTGCCTCAATAACTGCCCCTTGAATAATGTCAATATCTGATTCCGTTTCAGCTGAAGCAGTGGTTTTTTGGTAATAATTTCTTTAAAGTGGTGAGAATTAAAATTAAAGGTGGGGGGACAGGAGATTTTTCGTAGTTTTTTTGTAGCTAGAGTATGCATTCTACCGTCACGGTGTACAACGCTTAATGTCACTCTGCGTACAGCTGTCGTCCTCGCCTTTATGTATGCAAACGGGCGTCCGCTTTCTCTTTGCCCGTGTAGCTCAGTCGGTAGCGGCGCCGCGCCCTCAATCCTCGCCTTCACAAGTTCAACTCCTCGAGGGGCATCTTTGAACGGAATTTCGAGAACATTATTTTTTTCATTTCCCCCCACCTTTAACAAAAATTGGTAATCTTTCATTCATCTCTCAAAAAATTATATTCAAAATCAAATCATGTGAGTTTCCCATGAAAAAATAGATTCACAGTATGTTTGATAGACAAGCGATTCCGTTAACTTATCACATTAATCTTGTTTCAATGAAAACAAAAAGGAATGAGAAAAAACTGAACAAATCAGAGGGAAGTTTTGTGAGGAATCATAAAATTTGGAACTCAAAAAAAAGTTTTTCCTGTTTCAAATCGTTAGTTTCTTTGAACAATTTTCTATGCGAGAATCAGAGGGATTGAAGTTTTGAAATTCGAAAAAAAAGTACGGTGTCAAATTGTTAATTTAATGGAATATTTGTTCTTTGTGATATTGTATCAACGTTGTTTGCTGAAAACCAATTCACAAAGAATTGCTGAAAATCGTACGCTTTGCAACGCTTGAGTTTCTAATTTCTAAAACATTCAATTTTTCCAGATGGAATCTTTCTACGCCCACTGCTCAAAATAGCCGGTGACTGCGGTCTGTATGTGATAGCAACCACCAATTTGTTCTCCTATTCTATTATCAATTCCAAATTATGCCACTTTTGGACCAACCAATTCCGCTCCTCTCTTCTTGACTCCAAGTTACGTTTTTTTTCTATCTTTTCAACTATTTTACCCTGGCGATCTAAATATCCGTGAAGAACCGTAATTCAAAGTGACAGATGTTGTTTTTTCGATGGGTGGTTTTTTATCAGTTCTTTGATATGGGGAGATAACACAAAATCACATGAAACAGAGAAAAAGAAGTGGGATGATTGTGGAGATCAGAAACATACTTTGAACTAGAAAATCAATATTGTACTCAAAACGTTTCGCATTTTTTACTTAGCAGAGCGGGGTACCAATGACAATCAAGAAATTATAAAAATAGTTATAGAAATCATGAAACCCTGAATTTCTGTTTTTCCAACTTTATAAATTGGGTCTAATCTAGTAGAGCCGCTTTCCACTTTGATTTTCGAGACTGGATACTTCAAAATGTCACTGCAAAATCTAGCAGGAAAACTATGATTTTAAAAAATTGCTATTTCACAACTTCCAGATATTGTAGAACTTTATTATTCTGGAATTTATCTGAAACAGTTCGTTTCCAAAACAAAATTTTTTGTTTGACGTATGTACTAGAGTCTTAAATCAAATTTAAATGAAATCTTTGAAACATGAAAAATTTCATGTTTCATGAATACAGAGCGTCGCATAATTATAGGACCCCCCTCAATTTGGGATGTACAGCAAAAACTAGAGTAGATAAGAAAAATCTGTGAATGCAGTTGGATTCAGAATCAAAAATAACCCTAGGAACCAAATTTTCAGAACCCTACCATTTTCCATACCCTCACGGCAAGAAAAAGGTCCATTTTCGACCGTCGCATAACTATAGGGCCCCAGATGTTTTGGGTGCACAGGTCGTTTTTTGACCATTTTATCTACTCTAAATTGTTTTATTTACGTTTTTCATTGTTTTAAGCTTTTTCTGAAGATGTTTCTCGCAACTTTCTTTCAACATCTTCGTGTGGAACATCCAACAATGCAAGGAACTCATTTTCGAGATCAAGCTTCACTTCTGGCTCTTCCGTAAATCTCCAGCTGCATTTTTTACAGTTATTCGGATCGTGGCGATAGTTTGATGTGCAGGTACAGTAACTGAAAATATTAGTTGGTCCCTATCCCAAAAATATGCCTCGGAAACATTCCTTCAACCATGGCTCGCGCTACACTCCTCTCTCTTGCCGAACAGGCCAAAGTGGAGGTGATGAAACAACTTGGACTGACACTTCACGAGATGTCCCGTCAACTCACGAGAAGTCGTAACGTCATCCGAAAATACCTCGCCGACCCACTCCATTACGAGAAGAAGCTGAAGGAGTCTGCTGGAAGACCGAGAAAGCTGACTTCACGTCAAGAACGCAGCATCTTGAAATCAGTCTCCAACTCGCCCAAAAGTCTGAACGATGTGAAGAACGAACTCAAGCTGCCAGTCCACAAGAGTACGGTGGGCAGAATCATCAAAAGAAGTGGAGTCATCGTTCGTCAGAAGATGGCCAAAGTTCCGAAGATGACTGATGCCCACAAAGCAGCACGTCTCAATTTCGTGAAGAATAATTTGACTACGAAATGGGAGAACGTGAGTTTGAAACAATCAATTTTGAAAAGAAAAATGAATTCAGATCGTGTTCTCCGATGAAAAGAAGTGGAATCTCGACGGTCCTGATGGCAACAGGAACTACTGGAGAGATCTCCGAAAAGATCCGCAGCTGTTCTCCAGGCGCAACTTTGGCGGCGGCTCTGTTATGACTTGGGGCGCTTTTTGCAATGGAAAAAAGCTCGAACTGCAATTCATCACCACGAAGGAGAATTCTGCCACGTACCAAGCAACTCTCCAAAAGGCCGTGGCTCCGTTCTTCCGCAACAGACGCCACACCCACACTTTCCAACAGGACAACGCATCTATCCACACGAGCACCTCCACGAGGAACTGGTTCGTCTCGAAACGAATTAAGGTGCTCGAATGGCCAGCATGCAGTCCGGATCTAAACCCCATTGAGAACATCTGGGGCATCCTCGTTCGCCGGGTCCATCGAAACGGGAGGCAATTCAAGACCGTGCAGGAGCTCAAGGACGCAATCCAGGCTGAATGGGACGCTCTCACTGATGCCGAATTGAAGAATCTTGTAGCCAGCATGTCGAGCAGGATCGTTGAAGTGATTCAAAACAACGGCGGAGAGACTAAGTACTGATTTTTCTTTGTGTTTTTTTTGTGTTTTTTGTTAGTTGCTTAGAATAAATGGATTTTGTTGACTGAAGGGAAAATCGGATTCAGACATGTTTACTTTGAAAGAAAGTTGGAGAAACATCTTCAGAAAAAGCTTAAAACAATGAAAAACGTAAAAAAAACAATTTAGAGTAGATAAAATGGTCAAAAAACGGCCTGTGCACCCAAAACATCTGGGGCCCTATAGTTATGCGACGGTCGAAAATGGACCTTTTTCTTGCCGTGAGGGTATGGAAAATGGTAGGGTTCTGAAAATTTGGTTCCTCGGGTTATTTTTGATTCTGAATCCAACTGCATTCACAGATTTTTCATATCTACTCTAGTTATTGCTGTACATCCCAAATTGAGGGGGGTCCTATAATTATGCGACGCACTGTAGCAGATCTCCCATACTAATTTCACGTGAAATTCTTCAATCATCACTAGCATATCACTCACTCAAAATATCAGCCTTACTGTTGTAGTTGTATTTTCTATTCCTCAACTTTCTCATGTTTGCAGAGTGGTTCCTCGGTTGTGGTTCTTCTTCTGACTCCTTACATAGGCGTCTGAATTTAAAAAATCTAATACAACATTTTTCTTTTTCATTCACAATTTTTTTTTCCTGAATTTTTCCAAAAAAATTGGTTCAGTTGTGAGGGTATTGGCATGACAGGACAGATTTGTTGAAAAAATGAGTAGAAATAAATAAGAAGGTTCTTGATTTCAAAATAAAATGAGAATAAACAATTAAGAAATAGAGCAGACAGAAGAGTTACGACCCTGATCGGAACGGGTTCTGGAAGAGGACTCGTGCTGAAAAGTTGAATTTTTAGTTTTTTTTTTGTACTCCCATACTTTGCTGCTTCCGAGAAATGATTATTTTCAGAATGGTGTCGTAATTTAGATCATCCTGCGTTACACTTTATGACGAAAATTTGAAAATTCCCGTTGCAAGATTATTATTTTTTTTATCGAAATCATTTTCAAATGATGCGGTCATTCTCAATTCTGCTTCCTATAATTCCATATTTTTCTGTTTCCGAAAATTGATAACTTACACAAGAATATTGTGTTTTTAATTTAAAAAAATTACCTTCGCTGTCTCAATAACCGTTCCTTGAACAATATCAATATCTGATTCCGTTTCAGCTTTTGACAATGGAATGCTTAGAACATCAGCGACGGCTTGTCTGAAAGAATTGATTCAAAAAAAACTTGAAAACAGTTCATTTCTGAAAACTTATAAAAGAATGTGAATTTTTGAATGGGCACCTCTAAAATGACAAAAGAAATTTTCGGGAACATTTCAAAAACAAACAAAACTGAAATTTTATTCAATGTTTGTGGATCAAATTGCAAAGAAGTTTAGTAAACTAACCGGAAAGTCATGTATACCGTATCCCCAGTCTTGGCTGAAATATACGTTGGCACCATTCCATTTGAAGTGGCAAAGTTGCGATGAGTGTCAACTGGAACCGTTCTTCTCTCCTCCAAATCCGTTTTGTTGCCCAACAATATGATTCTTGGCGGCTGAAAAGACATCAAAATCAATCGCAATCAAATAGTACATATGAGAGTTTCTTTTGGAATTAAATTCTGTTAACTTACAAAGCGTTTACGGTTTCCAATGAAATTTTTTATGAAATGGCCTCAGATTAAAATTACTTGAAACCGAAAAAAATTTTGAAAAGTTTTCAAGCCAAACTCACATTTTCCTCATCCTTGAGATTCTTTCTGATGACGTTCATCCAGTCGGCAGCGTTTTCAAAAGATTTCGAGTTGGTGACGTCATAGACGAGGAATATTATATGAGCTCCCATTAGGTACTTATCAATCATCTCCCCAGCGATACTTTGGCCTCCAATGTCCCAAACCTGAAGGAAAAGAAACTATATTTTTTTAAATTTGAATTTTTGTTTTTGTTGTGGGGTTTTATGCAAGAAACCGGCGTTTTATTTCAATAAGTGATTCGGATATAACTGTTTTACAGTAGTCTTGCAAACCTCATCAACACAAAATACACAAAAAAAAAAAAATTAAAAAGGCACTTCTAGGAATACAGGTCAAAACGTTCGAATGAATATCTTCCCGTTAAAACTGAAACAGTTTGTTAAAAATTTATTCAGTTTCCGATACTTTTCAATTAATAATTTCATTTTTTCGAATTTGATAGTGAACCCTGATGTTATACACATGCCTACCTGAACCAACACCTGAACCTCTCCTGGTAGAATAACTCGACGAGAGAAGAAGTCAAGACCAAGAGTCTGAAATATATAAGTTTAACTAATAAAATGCTAAATTAAAATCACCTGATGATAAGACTTGTCGAATGTCTCTTTTGCAAATCTTTGACAGATGGATGTCTTTCCACTCGCTCCATCACCAACGACCACGATCTGAGAATAAAGCATTTATACAAATTTCAGCAGTTTGAATTCAATTGTGATTGTGAAAATTGGTCCACTGTTGTTTGATCGATTGATATATGTGTCGAGCCACTAACATTTATTTGTTCATAGGCTATGACAGGAAAACAGTGTTTTAAAATAATTTTTCCCAGTTTGCAAAACTTTTCTGAAGTTTTTTTTTCAAAATTTAAGGAGAGTTGTTGAGAATTGCGCATTCTGATTAAAAGAAAAGTTTGTTTTGAAACACAAAGTTAATGCAGCTGCCAAACAACTATTTTTTAAAAATTGAAAAAATATTAGGTTGAGCGAAAAGTCTTTGTAATTTTTTGAATTTTTTTCGGAACAAAATTTATTCAAAGAACACAGAATTCAATGTGTGATATATTCACCAATAGTGTATATGACTACTTGCCAACGCGATAGAAGTGGAGCGATTCCTTTAGCGTAGAACTCGGTAGACTGGGAAGCGGAAACGTCATCCAACCACTTTTTTACATCCTTTCTATCATGGAACTTTCACCTAACAAGGAGATTTTTCAAGGAACGGATAAGTTGCTATTCAGTTAGGGCCAGGTCTATTGAATACGGTGGATAACAGAAGACCTTGACTCCCAGCATCTGGAGCTTCTGACGGGTCTTCAAAGTAGTGGGTGTTCTTGCATCGTCATGAATCATTAACAAGCTGGAATTTTTCGGGCAATTTAATCGATAAGCCTTTGATGCTTTTTCCATTTGAGTTCTGTTGAGGTCCGCATGGATAATAACGCCGCCTAGAAGAAGTCTTCTGTAGATGACGCCTTCTCTGTCACACCAAATGGAAAATATAACTTTTTCACGTGAAGTTCTCCTTTGATGCCCGTTTTTTCGGTTTCCTTGGCCGGAACTCATCGTCCTTTTCTACTCGTCCCCAGTAATAATATTCTCAACCCAATTGATGCTACGTTTCTTAGTAAGCCAAGAATGTGCCAAGTCGCAACACAATGGTTTTAGTGAATCCGTCAAAAGGGGAGGGTCGAATTGAAAAATCTTTGGCAACCTTCCACAGTCATTAAGATGATCAATGATGGTTTTTTGAGGATGCTTGAGACTTGCTGCAAGCTCGCGTGACGTTACTCTTGGTTCTTCTTCTAGCGCTCTAGAGGTATCCTCGTTGAGATCAACACGTGGTAAGCCATATCTTCGAGATTGTAGTTCTTTTCGGAGAATCTTTTGAACCAAAACTTTATTGTAGTGTAGGACATATAGTGCTGGCCTAACACTGTACACAATTTACGACAAGCTACGCTGCAATTGTGACCTTGGAGACACCCGAACAAAAAAGCACCCCTGAGAGCATGATGGTCTCTGGGCAAATTCTCGGTCTTTATGGACGCCGTCGGTAACTTTAGCGAATATTTTAAGCATGCACAACTAGTACTACAATGTAGAAAAAAACAGAATAATAAAAAGTTAAATCAACGCTGAGATATGACGGTCCAAAAAAAATTACAAAGACTTTTCGCTCAACCTAATATCACTTTTTCAGAAAGTCTTCTTTATTGGAAATGTGCGAAGATATACACTTTTCTGTTCACTGAATATGGTTGTAGAATGATCCGAATTAGAACGAATTCTTCTTCGTTGTAATTTCAGAGAAAAATTTTCACAAGTTTCAAAAGTTCCAGATTTTGGACGATTACTTTTTTACATGATCTTTAAAGGATAAAATCATTTCTGATACAATGATTACAAATCAAATTGGCTTCAAAAACACCATGAAAAACCAACCTTCATAACTTTATCAGCTGGTTCCTCCTCCCCAGCTGCATCATCGATTTCTTCCGGCTGTTCCACTTTTTTTGGAAGCTCCGGGGCTTCTATTTCACCCATTGCTGACATTTTGAGAAAGGCTGAAAATTGGAGTTTTAGGAAAAATGTAGAAGAAAAAAAGGAGGGAAAAAGGAGCAAAATGAAAAAATCAATGTTTCACAAAGTTTTAAAATGTTGCTACCGTGGGTAGACATCGTATGCGTTTCTGTTGAAATTCAAAATAAAAAATTCTGATTTTGAGTTAAATGGGAGGGACTTTGGCACACAAAAAATAACGAAAACTTTGAAAATTGAAAAAAAAGTTGATTTTTTACTCCAGGAGTTACAGACTTCCAAGTCCCACATTAAGATTGTTTTCATTGAAAAAAAGGTTTTGTACTGAAAATTTTCAGTATCAACTATTTAGCCTTCTTTTCATGAAGTTTTCTTTTCAAAAAGTCGTTTTGTGCAACAAAAAAAATAGCAGTAAAGCCCATAAACGGAGTTGGAAAGAGAATAGAAATAGGGGAGAGAGTTTGTTTTCCGGATTTAGAAACATCATGTTTTATGACTAATCTCACTTTCCTTAAATAAAAAATTGGGAAGCCTTACTGGACGATACGTAGAAAATTGTGAGGATAGGAGACATGTAGGTGAAATACGGAAATTTTCGTTCTACAAGAATATAGGCGAGTCGCCAATTTTGAGCAAATTCATCTCGCTTTCTGTGAAAGATTCAAAAAAGAGGTTAACTAATAAAATGTTTATCATAATATCAGAAGTAATTTGTCAGTTGACAGCGTTTTGATATCTTTTACAGGACACGAGATAAATTACCTCAAAGTCTTCATTCTTTCTCGCGCTTTTTGAGATTCAGGCACTACAGAAAGACACAGCGGCACTAACTTTGACTAAGGTATACACAGTGAACGTCCGAGTACATTTATATGACGTTCTGAAAAAAATCGATGTGTTGAAAGTAAGCGATACACTTTAAAGAAATCTCACATTTTATTGATTTTAAAAGTCGTGTAGTTGAAAAATATCATATTTCTAGGCTAAGTTTACTAATGTATTTAACACCAATATGTTGTGCATTTCGACTGTGTTACCACTTCACACTAATGTAAAAAATTGTCTTCGTCTCTAATTTCGATGTTTTGAAACAGAAAAAAAACAATTTTTCAAAGTTTTTCAGGAAAAATTCTGGCCAGGCTCTGCTCTTTTTTCGGTTTTCTACATCTCTGAAAGCTAAGAAAGCGGTGAAACATTTAGCATGCACAGGTGGAAATTCTTAAAGTTCATTAGAATCGGCTGAAGAACATTTCTAGCTTAGTAGCACCACCTATTATAAAATATGATAGAAGTTCTGAAAAGAAAAACGAGATTTTGTGTTTTTAACGATTTCTACTCTAATTTATTTTTCAATTTCTGAGTTTCTTAAATGGCATAAAACATAGAAAAAAAAGGAACTCTGGGATATGATATTTGGTTTAACGTTTTAGAATGAATCGGATCCTAATATAAAAAATCGAAATATTTGTTATATCTGGAACAGAAAACCTTTTTCAAACTTTTAGTGAAACACAAATTCTGCAAAACATTCAAACCCGACTAAAGTAATTTCTCTCCAAAATAAAATAATACTGAAAAATAAAATTGAATGAGATGAAGCGGCTCGTATTCTCTTATTGAGCTTGCCCAAGTGAAACGGGAGCAAAAACGAAGAGAAATGAGAGAGAATTGCCATGGAAACGCGTTGCCTGGCGTCTCTCAATTTTCTATACTCTCTCGCGCGTCTCCTTCTTGATTCACGAATGCTCGAAGCGGTGGAAATTAGTAATGAGCAGGTCGAGATGAGAGAGAGAGAGAGAGAGAGAGAGAGAGAGAGAGAGAAGGTGAAGAGTTTGAAGGTTTCCCTCTGCTCTGTAAGCGTATATGGACATAAAAATTTTTTTAAAGGCGATGAAGTAAAATTTAAATTTAAAAAGAAATTCCTGAACATATCAAAAACATTAATTTCTAATGTATGAAAGAAATGTTCCAGAAACTGTAACTCTTAGAATTTTTGGGGATTTTGGAGCTTTTGAGAGTGAAGACATTGACGGTTTCTCTTGAGACTGGTAATATTACATCACTTTCATATTAAGAAGATGAAAGCAAAAAATTGATTCCAACTGTCCTGATAAAATTTTCCAGAAACAGTTTTTTTTTTGATTGGGCGGAAAAAAAATTCGAAAATTATAAAAATTAATGATTCTGGAAATAATATCATTTGGTTATAAACATGCTTTAAAAAAAGAAATGTAAAAACTAAGTATATGGAAAAAGCAAAAACCATTGATATGAGTTGTATTGATAAAATGATCGAGAATCAGTAAATTTTACAATTTGACAAGAAAATGGCAAAAATTGTCGTTTTTTATGATTTTTGGGTTTTAATGATTTTTCACTGTAAGTATTTAGATTTTCTAGAATTTTTGGAACTTTCAAAGTTTTGTGTATTTTTCAAGAATTCAGGAATTCAAGACTTTTCAGAGTATTCAAAATAACTCGGATTTGTAGGGTTCTAACTTTTCGGGTAAAAAACGTTTGAAAAAAGGAAGTGAAAATACAACTTTTAAGAACATTGGACAGTTGCCCAGGCAAGCTACCCCCAAACCCTTTCTGCAGTTCCCTGTGCGCTTGAAACGACGCTCCGCTGTTCGGCTGACGACAAGCGCGCCAATCGAGTGTGTTTGAATTAAAGTTAGTTTTTGAATAGCTAGTTGTGTCAGTTTGGACGATTTAAGTCAGTTTAGAGTTTTGTCTAAAGTATCTTTTGGGTGATATTGTTGTTCTTTATTAATTATACGGAATAATAAATATTATTTTTGTATAAAACCGTATTTTTTCTTTGTATTTTGTGTCTGGACCTTAATACCCCGATTAATCGAAGGCAATTTGAGGGCCGAACCGTTTTTTTATCCGTTTATCTGTTCTTTTACCTCTTTTTCGTAGTTTTTGCATCAATTCTCCCCAGAGTTTGAAGGAACCAGTGAGAGGATTGTTGTGAAAATTAATAAAGAGAAATCGCGATTAGGTGAAGGCCTACCGAGTTTTCTCGTTTTGTAGGGTGTAATTTTTCCGAGTTTGAAGGAACCGGCAGGAAATTATTGTGAAATTGATCAACGGAAAGTACGATCAGGTGAAGGCCTATCGGAAAGACAGCAAAGAAGAACGCCGAAAAAACATTCTTTTGAAGTAAAGTGTGTTTTCAGGAATGTCACAACAGTCAAAGAAGAACGCGGAGCATATGGAGTGGGAACAACAGGAGGGAGACGGAAGAAGCAACGGTGGAAGCAAAAGAATCGCTGAAGAAGGAGGAAAGTGGGGAGACGGGCTGGAACCGGAAAAACAGGATGTGCTGGAATCGGCGGAAAAGTCGAGGAAAAGTGCTGCAACTCTGGGAGACGGGAATTCGACGCATCACTCAGAGAGAGAAAAAAGCTAGTGTTAGCGTTCGCGAAGTTTGTCGGTGCGAGTGAGAAGTTGATGGAAGACATGCGGGATCAGATATACAGATATACGAAAGTAACTGCGCGAGTGAGAGACGTGGTTCTGAAACCGGTGCAACAGTTCGTGGAACAACTGGCGAAGCGGCACAGAGAGCTAGACAGTGGGAAATGGGAGAGAATAGTGATGAGAATGATGAGGGATCATGGAATTGAAAATTTCAGCGAGTTGCAGGCAGCTATTAGTATCGCGGGTCGCAAAGAACGAGTAGCAGATGAGGAAGTGGAGAAAAGTGATAATGAGTGGAAATTGTTGCAGAAAAGTTGGGAGCTCCAAAACGACGAGTTGGGACAACATTTGGAGAAGGCCAGAGCCGAAGCAGAAGACTTGCAACTACAATTGGATGCAGTCCAAATAGAGAAAGAAAGGTGTGAGAAGGAAGTGGAAAGACTGGAAAGAGCATGGAAGCTGGAGAGGAAAACGGCGAAGGAACTGCGACAAATGATGGAGCAGTCAACAGGTAACGAAAAAAGAGACCAGGAAAGAAGTAAAGTGGTGATTCAGGAGCGTTACAGGAGGCCCGGAACACAATCGGTCGATTCAAGAGGATCATCGAGTGCATGGGCAGAGCCAGAGAGCCAAAAGAGAGGTGAGGCGAAGGGAAACGGAGTTATGGGAAGAAAGGAAACAGAAAGTGATTAATCATTAACTTCATATGTATGGATAATACAGGGTGGCCGATAAGTATAGGACGCTCGCTTTCAGCGTTCCCTGGCACGGTGCCAAGGGATATTTTCGAAAAATTTCGAAACTTTTCGAAAGTCCAGAGACTATATAAGTAAGCTTCTCAGTCATTTGTTCTCACTTCTCCATATCGCCGAGCTATGAAAAGTTCTCCTCATCGTCCTTCCATTGAACTCTTGTTCAAGAGAGGCCTCGGAAGTGCTGAGATCGCTCGACGCCTTCAAATTTCGTCTTCGACGGTTCGAAACGTTGTCGCTGCTATCAAAAAGCGAGGAGATGCTTCTGAAGTAAAAAAAAGCGGACGTCCACGTTCTGTCAACACCCGGAATACTCGTGCAATCATCAAGAAACGGATCATTCGAAATGATGGATTGAGTCTCAATAGGATGGCGTCACAGCTTGGAATTGCCCGATCCACTGTCCAATCGATTGTCAAGAACGGCTTGAAGCTCAAAAGTTACAAACTACGTCGTGGACAGTACCTCTCGGACAAATCGAAAGCGATGCGACTCGAAAAATGCCGAAAATTACTCCAGCACTTTCAAGTGCGCCGCGTCTCTGACGTTATCTGGACAGACGAGAAGATCTTCACTATTGAACCTCTTCCCAACCGTCAAAACCAGAGACAGTTATTGTCAAAGGATGACAGCATGTCTCCGAAACGTCGTCTTGCCCATAACCGCCTTTTCCCGAAAAGTGTCATGGTTTGGGCCGGTATCACGGCAACCGGTAAAACTCCGTTGGTTTTCATTGAAAGAAATGTGAAAATCAACTCGGAGGTGTACCAAAAGATTGTGTTGATGGATAATTTGTTACCCTGGGTCACTCAGCACTTTGCTGGTGGTCCATTTATCCTTCAACAAGACTGGGCACCGTCCCATGGCTCGAGATCGACATTGGCCGTCTTGGAGGCGCATTTCCCTGGATTCCTGGACAAGAACTTGTGGCCTGCTTCCAGCCCGGATCTCAATCCGATGGATTTCAGCGTTTGGGGCATGTTGGAAGGGAAGATCGCGGGAAAAGTTTTTGCTACTGTTGATGACTTGAAGGCCGCTCTCGAGGTAGCATGGGCTTCGATCGACGACGGATACCTGCGGCGCACTGTCAATTCGGTGAAGAAACGTTTGAGAGCCTGTGTCAAAGCTCGTGGATCCAACTTCGAATTTCTCTTGTAAAATCAAATTTTCTGCTTATTTTTTGTTGTTAATAAAGGTTGTTCTCGAAAAATCCTCAAATTGAAAAAATGGGAGCACTTTCAAAACGTCCTATACTTATCGGCCACCCTGTATGTTCCAGAAACAGTAACTTTTTCAATTTTTGGAAACCTTTGGAGCTTTTGAGATTTTCAGTTTTTAATGGAGTTACATTTTCAGAGTAACTTGAATTTTAGGGTTTCTCCTATATTTTGGAAAGTATTCGATTCTCCGACATTTTCAAAATTTTTTCCAATTATTTAATTTTCCAGAATGTTCTGGATTGTTTTCCTGTTTTTATTGTTCCTTATGTTACAGTTTCCATTTTATTCAATTTAGTTAACAATATTTGATGGCTGGCACTTAACATTTCAAATATTATAGTAGAAAATAAAAGCAATTATTAAAACATTATCAATTATCCATGTTTTGGATGGACATATTTGCATGGGAACTTTGAAGATTGTTGCCAATTGGCCAGTGCATTTTTAACGTCGGTTAGCATTTTCAGGTTGTTCTGATAAAATGAATTTTAGCAAATCTGATTAAATTCTGGGAATCGTATATTAATATTTTTCACAAAAGATGTTATATTTCTTAAACGGCAAAAAATTTCCGAAATTCTTTTTTCCAAAATTTCTAAAAAACAAACCGCCACTGTGATTCGTTTTTTGACGAGGACATTTTGAATATTTCTCAATTTATGGTCCACTATTAAATAACCGAAATTGTGTCCCTGACCGCACATTTGGTCGGCACCCTCCTTGTTTTTTCTTCTCTTCTCATCAGCGGTGATTCCAGTCTGAAATGAACGAATTGATGGTTTTGGGAGAAAACTGTTTCAAGGATCTTCAAATTTATTGAATTTGACAATGAAACTAATGCTGACATTATTCTCATTACAAACTTGGTATTGCTAGAAGTTTGAATGCGTTTCAGAATAATACTGTTTCGAAACAGAGAATTATGAAACATCCCGTTTTTTGTTCCATGATAAAATTTAAGTGATTATCACAAAAATGTTGATATGAGAAACAAGATTTGGGAAAGGAAAACTTTCGGTTCGTCGGAGGTCCCAGAACGAAAACTACCTTAACCAGAAAATGGTCAAAAAATGAAAAACTTTTGTTAGTAAAAAAATTGTCGGAAGACGAACGAAACCCTAGAGAAAAAATCGGGAAAATCGAAATATTTTTAAGGTACAGTTTTGTTTTCCGATCTTTGGCCACTTCCACCACTGTTTCACCGCTTCGATTTGTTTTGTACAAGTGAAACTTAAAACAAAGAAAGCTGTGGAACGTTCAAAATATTTCGGATTCAAGAAGTTTATATTTTCCTGAACATTTTTTTTAAAGATATTTTCGGAGGAGCATGATTCAACAATACAAAAGTTTAGGCTCTCGCTAGCCGCCGACTAGAAAATATTCCTCTTCTATTAAATTCAACTTCTGCAAGTTTTCATGGTTCGGTTGTTTTTGGTAGTTGTTTGTTGTTTTTTTTTTGGTAGCATCCATCTTCTGCAGGTCCTTTTTATTTTCTTTGTAATAAAGAAAGGACAGTCCAGATTTTCAAACCAAAGGAAGAATAACCGAATCTGCCAATACCATCTGAGCTACACGGTCGAAAGCGCCTAGCGATGGACTGGATGGGGTACGGTATTCACACAAGCAAGGGATATGTGTGAACACCGATCACTGTACACCATTGCCTTGAAATGTATACTCTGGATTTAAAAACCGTCCGAAAATTCAAAAAATGATAAAACTAATCTGAAATCTTATCAATGTTCACCATCCCGTCAAAATGCATACTCTCGACCCAAAAAACCCAAAAATAGATTCACCGTCTGGCAGGAATCATGATAAACAACATTCCGGGTCTTTTATCACATTTTTGAAACAGGACATTTTTCCAGAACATTGAAAAAGTTTTTCATTCAGTTGTTGTTATCTTTTAAATAATTAAAATTTTTACAAATCTACACCTTTTCTTTAGTTTTTTTAAAATAGTTTTTTCTGTTTACAAATGCTGCTACAATATAGTACTCACATTTCTCAACTGCTGGACTCTCAATCGCAATGTTGGGAAGAAACTTTTTATTTGTTCATAGGCTTGCTGAAAGTTTATTCTCTTGTATTACTTTTCAAATTTCGTCTTACATCATCCGTCAAACTGGACAACTCGGCAAAATCGACTTCTTGCTGAACAACTGGTAGAAACTTCTCGAGATCATATTGGAATCTTTCGTAAGGCATTATAATATTGTCATCCGATGAAACATAGCTAGTTAGCAATAAAATAGAAATCGGGAGAAAATAGGAAAGGTACATATTCTCGAAATGAAGGATTTCAAATGACTGGGGATGATGAGAAATAGGATGGATAGATAAAAGGAGACGGATATTCGAACAGGACATTGAAGAGAAAGAAACATTACGTAATTAGGTGGAAAAGAAGAAGAAAAAGTCGAAAAAGGGCAGGATGTCTTTTTGAGATAATTAGAGATCGTTAGATTCGAGGAGGCGAGAAAAAACTGTTTTACGGATGTTCGGATGATGGATCTGGACGTTTTGATTTTAATGGGATAACGTATTTTTCAGGATGTTTGGTTGCTTTGAAAATTGGCTTCAAAGCGTGATCAAATTATAATGACAAGAAGAAATATTCAAATAGTTCGGAACAATAATTGAAAAAATCGATTTAACTCTGTAAAAAACTCATATTTGCAACAGTAACGTTTCGATGCTTCTAGATGCTTCTAGTTTCGATTCTGAAAAATCCACTTGGAGTTTTTTGTTCTGAATGTAACAGAAATTTTTTAATTCTTTAAGAAAATGCCTTCCTTTCAGTCAACCTTAACGACGACAAGTGACAATTACAGAAAAGTGTTGAACAACCTGAAAACATCTAGGTCGCGAACTAGAAAAATCTAGGTCATGACTTAAAAATCTATGTCATGACCTAAAAAAATGTAGGTCATGACCTAAGAAATCTAGGTCACGACCTAAAAAAATCTAGGTCACGGCCTAAAAAATCTAGGTCACGAACTAAAAAAATCTGGGTCATGACCTAAGAAATCTAGGTCATGACCTAAAAAATTTAGGTCTTGACCTAACAAATCTAGGTCATGACCTGAAAAATCTAGGTCATAACCTGAAAAATCTAGGTCATGACCTAATTTTTTCCAATATTGAATTTTTTAGTTTTGCTGCTTTTTCATCTTTTTCAAGTCAATATTCGATAAATATTGTCGAATTAACAAAAGTGACACCTGAGAATTTGAAAACTTTTGCTTTTTTTGATCTACGAAAAAGTGCGGCAAAAACGTAATATTTCAGAATTTCGGCTCGTTCGAGCTACTTTCGTGTTTAATTTTAGTTTTTTGCTGAAAAATAAATTCTAGAGATGCTAGGATCATTTTTATACCAAGAAGCCAAAATTTTGTTCAGGAAATCCCCCTACATTCACATAAACAAATTTGTTATCTACAGTATCCGTTTTCGCTCCGCCCCCTCGTAAATCGACACGAGCGCCGTCTCCGAGATTTTCAGGTGTCACTTTTTTTAATCCGACAATATCGGAAAAAATTAAATGGCAATAAATTTTGCGCGTCAAGTGTGGTGTTTCTTGTACGCAATTTGTCGTCAACCAAATTTCGTTTTTTTTTTCGATTTCTCATTCGATTTTCGCCAGTTTTTCTGGTTAATTTTTGCTAACTTTTCGTTAATTTTTCTCAAATTTCTCCTCAAAACTTAAAGAAAATAATTTTTACTTTTTCAGCAATCATTCGAAATGCGGACTCCACAAAAATCGACGGAAACCAGAATTCTGGAATTCTTAAAAGGTTTTTATCGACTTTTAATTTTTCAACTTACTTTTTGCATTTCATAAGGCGACCCACTAATTCGAAAAGCGTGCGAATTCACAAGAAATCTCAAATTTACGGAATTTTATAATCCGAAAATTTTGAAAGCTTATGAAGAGCAAATGGAGGAAGAAGCAATGAAAAATGACGAAAATCTGGAAATTTATATGGAAAAATCTGCGAAAAATGATGATAAAAAACGAAAATTCTGGATATTCCGGATATCAAAGATGTGAAAAAAATGTGGATAGCATGACAGGTAAGATACGCATTTTGAGCTAAAAATCGATATCCGATTTCCGACCGAAATATCGATTTTTCGGTCGGAAACTCGGCCAACAACTAATATCGATTTTCCTGAAAAAGTATCGATTTTTCCAGACAAATCGACTATCGAAAAAGACGACGCCACTTCGAATCAAAAAAATAATAAGCCTCGAAAATAATTGTTTTACCCAATTTTTCTCACATATTTTTTTTCTTATTTTTTGCACTAACGCGCACTATCGAATTCAGAAAATCGATAAATTTTCGGTAGAGCGCGTCTGCAAGCACCCAGTTATTCTGCACTGAAAAATCTCACAATTTTCATATGAAATCATTTATACTAGTTATCACATTCCCCCCAATTGACTTGTGACCTCTTATAAAGAAAGTAGCATTTTTTGTAAATAAATTATATTCATTTGTGATTTGTTTACAGTAAAGGAGATACTAATTTTCCGTTTTTTTTCAGTTTTTGAAGTCTTTTTGTCAAATTTCCATCAAGTTTCAGCACATGTGTGATGGGAAAATGGGATTTCTACTGCAAAATTTGAATATTCCGAAATCCCAAAATTTTCAAAGTCGTAGTTTTCGACATCCCGAAAAACTTAGAAAATACGATTTCGAAAAAAGGGTTTTTGATGGGAAACGTGGAGCATAGCGGTGGTACGACGGATTGGAGATTTCCTAAAATGAAACTGTAGAAAAACGAACATTTCCTAAATCAAAATGGTTCCAAATTGAAAACTGTGCGAAATCAGAACTATCCGGAAGTATAAATTGGACGGAACAGAAATGCCTAGAGTGAAATTGTCCCTTTTTGGACAGCTGTTAGCGCGAGCGCTCTATTGCTAACAGCTGTCCAAAACGGGACAGTTCTACTTTAGGAATAATTCCACTTTCGCCTTTTCTGCTTTCGGACAGTTTTCATTCCGTAAATATTTCAATTTGGAAGTATTTAGATTCAGAAATTTCATTTTGCTACTATTTCATTTTGGGGAATGTCCGATCCGTCGTACCATCAGCATAGCAATAATGAACATGAGAAATGACAAATTCAAAAAAACCAGAATAAAAGTGTTTTTTTTTTCAATTTCTGTTTCAGAAAATCCATATTTTGCCGTTTTTTTTTACAATTTCAATACTCCAATGATATTTTTAAAAAAGGCAGTTAGTTCCGACAAAAAATGAAAGAGGAGATCGACTTTGAAGCATTTTTAGAAAACCGAAAATTTCTCAAATTGTTCGGTGTTTTAAGAATTTCTTTTGTTAAATTATTGTGAAGAATCTATTTTTGAGTGTTTTCGATAAAAATCTGTCGCGGTGAGAAAAGATACCGCGATGTTTCGAAAATTGCTTAATAATCTATCTCCTCTTTCATTTTTTGTCGGAACTAACTGCTTTTTTACTTAAAATGTGTTTTTTAGCCTGCTTAACAATTTCTATGGACGAAAACTTGAAAAAAATTGTCGAAAAATGAGAAAATTTCGCTGAAAACCGGGTTTTCAGTGCAAAATTTTTTTTAAAAAAAATTACACCGGTGGCCGTGGACAAAGGTCTCAAAACGACAGCTACAGTAACCTAAAATAATTTTTAATTTCCAAATTTTTTTCTAGATTTTCGTCGACTGTCTGCTATTCTTCTCCCAAAAAAGTCGGAAAATCATGATTTCAGATAGTGAAAAACTTGACTGAAAACGCGCGAAAATCTAGATAATAAATCATGAAAATAAAACTATTTTTAGGTTACGGTAGTTGTCGTTGTGGGACTTTCGGCTACGGTCATCGGCGTTTCTCTTTCACAACTCAGTGTCTTGTTGTACCACATTATAGACAAATTTCAAGGGATTCAGCTGTATTTTTTTCATTTCTGTTTCAGAAAAGTTTTATCCTTTGTTCTTTCAAAATCCAATAATTTTTTCTCTTACGATAGGTGCACTAACCTTGTTTCTTCCATTATTCCCATAACTGACCTACTTTTTACTACGTGCTGTTTTTTTCAACAAAAAAAAAGAAACGTCAAAAACCTTCAACATGACCACATCTAATTTCCGGACCACTAGGTCCCCCATTTTTCTCAAATTGACCTCGTGGTTTTCTTATTTTTCATTTTTCTTTATAACCTGAATAAATCAAAAACACACTTTTCCAGGTCACCCGTTTTTTGGCTCCGCCCCCTTTTTGGTGCTATTCAAAACGGAAAAGTTGTCCTCGCGCGTCATTCCAATGCCCATTTTTCTTTTCTTTTCCAGTTTTTTTGTTTTGTTCGAGGAGTTCAGGTTGAGAAAAAAAATAGAGATGAAAAATGGAGTTTTCGCCTTTTTTGCCCTCTTTTTTGCCAATCTATTGTGCAGCAGCCGGGTTTCTAATGGCTTCCAGAAGGTGCCCCCTATTGTGTTGATTTTTTTACTCTTACGCCATTTTTTATTGCTCAGTTTTTTTGGCTTTGCTTTTTTAAGCGGAAATCATGCGATTTATGTACATGGAAAATTAATTTTATGAACTTTTTGAATTTTTGTAAGTTGCAATATCCAATTCGTGAATTCTGTCAACTTCCTATAAAATGAAATGAGAATTTTGAAACAGTAAAAATTAGGTAAATTGAAAATTCCAAAAGTGTATTTAACTTCAACGAAATTTACCTCATTTCCTGTCGGAGATATCGGAAAGTGGTTCACTAAAAAAACTTTTTGATATTATGATAAACATTTTATCATTTGTCTACTTTTTCATATATGTTATGGAAAACAAAAAAATCGGGGTTAAGCCAAAGGTGTAGCTCTACAGATTTGTATTTTTTGGTTGATCAAAAACGATTGTAAGAAATTTACGGTTGATTTCAAGGTCCGTTTCAGAATTATTGGTGGTTATTGCTTGCTTGAGTTTACAGGTAATTTTGAAAAAGGTCATTTTGAAGAAGATGAATTTTCAAACATTTTGCAAGCAACTTTTGCTGTTTCAAATATATTTTAGGAACGTTTCACTTTTTTCTTATTTATTAGTACTTCCTAATTATGTTTATTGTAAAAAAAGAGCTATGTAAAAACATACACTTTTTTGTGTTGCATTTTGAAGCAAGAAAAATCTCGTAAATCAAAATTTTCAAACGGCTCCTAACTGCCAAGTTTGATCCAATTTATTTCAGTTCCTAAACGAGGTATCAAAAATTTCTCAACTAATAGTAAGAAAATATTTTTCATAATACATATTATAAACTTTTTGTTAGTGGTCCACTTCTTTATAGCTTTCAAAGTAGTAGATGAGAATTGGGTCCAACTTCAAGGTATAGATAATTTTTAATCTAATGTGTTAAACACGTGTGATATCGCTAGCTAATTTTCGGCTATTGCGGTTTCAGTTTTTATGATATTTTGGTGATTTTAAAGGGGGACTCCCACCAAAAATTTTTATTCCCTTAAAATGTTTCAAAAAATATGTATTTCCTAATATTATTGCGAAAAAATTCAAAGAAAATCCTAAATCGCCGAAAAACGGCGTTGAATAATAATAGGATTTGAATTCCCGCTCAGTGAGAAACCTAGGCCACGGCATCTTCTTGTCCGGCAGGTAGAAAACGTAAAAAACCACTGTCGGCCACTTAAAAAAACGGCTATCAGGCTCCGTGGCCGAGGTTTCTCACTGCGCGGGAATACAAATCCTCGTCCCTCCTAGCAACTTTTTATTGAAATTTTTTCGCTTTTACGGCATTTTTCGGGGATTTCGGATTTTTTTCGAATTTTTTCGCTATAATATTGGGAAAATAGACAACGTTTCGAACATTTTAATGCAATAAAAATTTTTGGTCGGAGTCCTCCTTTAAAAATAAGCGAAGTTGTCTCGAAATGTTTTCAGCAGTTGTTGGGATATTTTCAAACATTTTGCAAGTAACTTTTGCTGTTTTAGAAATTCTTTGAAAATGTTTCAAAGTTTTTCCAAAGAATTATCGTGCCTAGGGTCTTTTTTCTTGAAAAATAGCCCTTCTAATACAGGTCTTACGGTATAAAAAGGTGTCTGCTGAATTCTGATCATTTGTATACATTTTTTGAAACTACAATTTACAAGATTTTCGAGCAGTGGAAACAAAACAAATTTGAGATTCAATTATGAAGAAATATCAACTTTTGGGAGCAGTTTGAAGCAGCGAAAGTTTGGAAAATTGATAGTTATACCGTGTACTAACTATTCAGTTTACTCAATTTATCCGGGTTTTCTGTATGAGATATTGAAACTGTTACTAGCAATCTTCCTATGGGCAAAATTTTGCCAGAAACGAAAACATCAAAACGTTTTTTTCAAATATTTCTTCTCTGTTTCCCAATCATCACTTTTTTATACTCATATATTATGATTGATTCGTCTTTTGTTGATCTACATAGGTTAATCACACTAAATTCCAGCACAAAATCATGGGATGTGGTTCGTCATCTGCTGCTGAAGTAGCGCCAGCTGAAATCATCGAACCATCGCCACCATCCGATGATGTTCCATCAGATCCAAAGATTCCAACAAGTTACAGACCCTCGATTATCAGTCTACAGATTCCAAATGAATTTGGTGATGATGTTAGTTCGGATGCCTTGAGGTACTGAATACTTTACCGTTTCATACTTGTAATTCGGGCCTTTGCCGGGCCTTCGCGGGCCCTGCCATAACTTCTTTCAGAATCAATATTTTCGAACCAAGCAAAAAGAGCAAAAAAAGCAGGCCTGCCCCGGGCCTGCCGGGCCCTGCGAGAAAAGCTACTTTATGATCTGTAACTTTGTTCATAGATAAGATACAGTATTCCAAATAATACCGTTTTGTAGTACTCGTGGAGCTCTATCATATCTGATTTAGTTGGTTCGAAAATATAGATTCTGAAAGAAGTTATGGCAGGGCCCGCGAAGGCCCGGCAAAGGCCCGGATTACAAGTATGCGTTTCATGAGTTCAGTTTTTGATGGAGGAAATATTTTCTGTTAATGTAAAAATTTTCTCATCAGTTTCCGAATGATTCGTTTTTCTCCCAAAAAATAACTTGTTCAATCATCTCGAAAGTTATTCTGAATTTGCTTAACTTTAAGTGAACGATCGGATGGTCAAGAAGAAAACGTGGAGTATCTGTATGCCACCGATGTAACACTACAATGGTTGCTGGAACGGATTGCAGACAAATTCAAAAAAGAGATTCCAGAAGATCCACAATGGATTATTGAACGTCTGAATAGGCCCAGTTGGGATCGTGAGTTTTAGTATTGGAGCGCATTTCCTATCTATCTATTTTTACAAATTTTTCAAATATTTAAATTCATATTCTGGAAAGATCAGTAGCACACAAAGTATGAACACCAGTTTCCGATGTGCAGTATCGAAACATTGTTCCTATAACATGAAAAGTGTAAACTTCGTTTATAATTGTAAAATGATTTTTTCCAAAAATATTAGGTTGAGCGAAAAGTCTTTGTAATTTTTGGAATTTTTCGGAACAAAGTTTATTCAAAGAACACAGAATTCAATGTGTGATATATTCACCAATAGTGTATATGACTACTTGCCAACGCGATAGAAGTGGAGCGATTCCTTTAGCGTAAAACTCGGTAGACTGGGAAGCGGAAACGTCATCCAACCACTTTTTACATCCTTTCTATCATGGAACTTTCGCCTAACAAGGAGATTTTTCAAGGAACGGATAAGTTGCTATTCAGTTAGGGCCAGGTCTATTGAATACGGTGGATGACAGAAGATCTTGACTCCAAGCATCTGGAGCTTCTGACGGGTCTTCAAATTAGTGGGTGTTCAACGCCGTCGGTAACTTTAACAAATCTTTTAAGCATGCACAACTAGTACTACAGTATAGAGAAAAACAGAATAATAAAAAGTTAAATCAACGCTGAGATATGACGGTCCAAAAAAAATTACAAAGACTTTTCGCTCAACCTAATAGCTTGCATATCAGTATTGGGTAACAGCTTCGATACTTACATTCGACATGAATCAGCAATCCTTATATTCCAGTAGACTACGCCACGTCATCAGTGGTTCGAGTAACATTTGGATGGGACGATGACGATCTTCCTAGAAGTGTTGTATTGAAAACTCCAGTAGCTAAGGATCAGAGAGATGATGAAGAGGGAAAGTATCATTATATCATGTTCAAGAGGTGAGCGTTTGGTTTGTCGATGAGGTAGCCAACTGATTTTTTCTGCTTCATTGATTTGGTTAATTGTATTGTGTTCAATATGGGAAATGTTTGCCCTTCGTAGGATACTTTCAAAAGTAAGCCATAGCTTTTTTGAACGCAATATTTTTATAAAAAACTAGAATGAATATGATAGAACATGGTTTGCAAGTACGGTTTTTTCATGTTTCACTGACTCAGTTTACATTGTTAGCTCTTCCTATTGCGGTTTACCTTTCGATAGTATTATACATACATAGTAATCGTTTTTTTTCAGAGAATGTAATGTTTACGAATGGACTCAAAAATTTCCGAAATTGGTGGCTCCCAATATCATTCATATCAAGAAGCATTCGAAAGAGGGAAGTGGAGTTGTGGTGATGGAGGATGTTTCTGAGAAGGGACAAGAACAGGATCCAGTCAAGGGATTGACGGTTAGTATGGCTTGACTTTTGGTGTTCAAAAATCTGGTCCAAGTCAAGCGACCGAGTAGCTCAGTTGGTAGCAAAGGAGCATCCCTCACATTTTGTTCACAAGCTCAACAGGCAAAACATCGAGAAGACTTTTTTCAAGTGTCTTACCACCTTTAAAAAGATTTCAAAAAGTTGGTGTTATTCCGAGTATTGGAAGCATGTAAAGTTCATTCAGCCATGTTTTTTGATCTTTCAAAATATCCATTCAAAATAGTCAAGACTTCAAAACACAAAACTAGAACACTAGTTCGAACGTAAGACATTTTGAATAGGAAACGGAAAAATGTTTTCTGAGGGTGCGAGGGGGAGGGAACATTTGGAGCTCTAGGAATAAAGTGATCTTTAAAGGTTCTGACAGCTTTTGCTAGGTTTTTTTCGAGAAACGAAATACTCGAAATCTCAAACTATTTGAGGGAATCGGGAATTAGATATTCTGAGAAAGCTAGAAGATGGAAATACCGAGACATTCGAGAATTTTGAAACATTCATCAAACTAATAAAATTCAAGAATTCCACTGTTTCAAAAACAACCGAAGAATTCAAGAAAAAAAAAGAAGCTTTCAATCTATTGGATGCTCCCGGAATTTTCATATCTCAAAATAAACGAAGAAGATTCAGTTTCCACAGACTCAAAAAACATATTCTAATTTGAAAATCGTGTAAATTTAGAAATCCAAAAAAGTCAGATTTTCCTGAAAAATCAGAAACTGTAAAACGAGTATTGTTAAAAAGGCATTTTTTCTTGAAATTACAATTGATTCGCTAACTTCGAAAAAAAAACTAATTGCAGCTGGAAGTGGTGCGTGATCTACTAAAACAAATCGCATATCTCCATTCGGTTTCTCTAAAACACACCTCATGGAGTACATTGGTCGCTGATCTACCACCATCGTATTATGCTCATACAATTGGAAATTTTGATGAGACAATGACATTTTTCGAGAGACAAGATGTCGATCATTCCAGATTTGTGGTGGGTTAGCTTTTCAAGTTTTATTTGGGAAAATAGATCTTTTGAACGAATAGATCAACAATAAGATCTTCAGGAAAAAACAGATTCGCTATTTACTGATGGAAAAGGTCAAATTTAAATTTCTAAAGATATAGTAAATTTGGTTTTATGGATTTTTACAAACAAAATTAAAGCTCAGTTTTTGAATAGTCCTGAAAACTGTTAGCATCCTCCAAAATAATCTACTACATTTTTATACATCCAAAGTCAATGGCTTTCAGCGAAAGAAATAGGAAAAATAATACAAAGCGGTATGAAAAATTAATTATTTAATTGCTGTTTCTGTCAGTTTACAATATTGACGGAACAGATAGTTTCCGTTTCGCCAGACTACTCGAAAATTTTTGATGGAGTAACTTTCAGCACATTGGAAAATACTTCTCCGACGAGTACCTCCATTCAACTGCCACTGAAACTACAGAATTGTTGGAGATTCCAAAAGTTTTGGTTCATGGAGAACCGTATGCAAGTAATGTTTTCACTAAAATGGAAGGAAAAGAACAGAGAATTCTTTCGTTGATTGATTGGACAGGTGAGTGGGGAAAGGAGAGTTTTGTTAGCAGCTAAAATGGAACATTTGAAGTTTGTATGTCAAAATTGAAACAGTCAGAACTAGTTTTTAACGCAATTTCTTCGAATTGAGCATAAATTGGCTCAAACTTAGAATTTCAGTTTGAATCAAAAAGTAAAATGTAGAACTACAATTTGATACATAATCGGACTATATTCGAATGTGGGGCTTCGAATTAGAGGACCGAGCGTAGCCGAGTCGATGCTAGCGGGCTAGGCTGTTTTGCAGCTTTTGGTCTGAAACTTGGCTTCTGAATGTAGCCGTATTTAATATCGTTTTGTAGATATTTTTGAGTTCTACGTTTTACTTTTTGATTTGAACAGAAATTCCAAGTCTGAATTGAATTAAGCCCCAACTTGTTGATCGGCCATGTCGAAAATTATGTTATTGGTCTCCAAAAGTAGCGGCACAGAACAATTTCGACATTGTTTACTGAATTCCTAAATAGCTTGGAACCGAAATTTTTAAAAAAGTTTAATTTCAGAAGGCCACTCGGGCTGTTTCGCTGAAGACGTCGCAAAGATAATTTGCTGGAATTTGAATGCAAAAGAAAGAGTGGATAACACGAGTTCCCTTCTTGAAGGATACCATTTTCATTTGGCAAGGTTTGTTTGGGATTTCGAACTTTTTCATTTGGGATTCAATTTTTGAATGTAAAAATTATTAAGAAGTGTGGTTCACAATTCTTCGGAGCATTTGAAAAAATTTTGGGAAAATATAATAATATGTCTGAAACGTTCAAAAATCGAAAATTTCGGTACCATTAGAATTTTCGAAACTCTAATATTTACATGAGAAGTAGCAAAAATTAAATACTGCTTTTTTGTCGATAAACTAGACTTCAGAAACAATAAATTCTCGGAATTCTAGCGGGTTCGAAACTGTAAAATATTTTTCCAATTTTTCAGATACTATGACGGTGACTGTCCATTTACTGTAGATATCATTCAACGATGCTATGAACTATTCGTCCCATTCGCAATGGTTTCTCTGTGTGGAAAAGTGATGAGTGTGAAGAATAAAACCGAAAAAGAGCCACTAATCGAAAGAGCGAAAAGTCTCATTCAACAAGTTTATGCCATGGAGAGACTCAATGAATAATGGTCATTTAAAAATTTATATTATTTCTATTTCACTCATTTTATGTCTTTCTCTTGAATACATTGCCATTTCAATGTATTGTTTTCATTTAACGTTTCTTCATTTACATTTTCATTAAAATAAAAGTTCTAATCCAATTCGAAAATTCTACGAGTAATCTGTGTGATGACATTATCATCCAACTTCTCCAAATCCCAATTTTGTGACTTCAAATCAGCCAGAGATTTTGCAGCGGACAACTTTCTAGGCTAAAAAATCAAATTATATATAGTTTGGAAGTTTTTCATTTACCACAACATCCCACAATGACCATTTCTCGGCCAGATAAATGATCTGATTGGTTGTCATTCCACTGACACCAACAACCATTTGCTCCTTACAGTATTCTGTGATACGTGGCACTTTGAGATGGTTGGCCAGCTTCAGGAAGGCCTCAACGTTTGTCGCTGGAAATTCGAAGTTTAAAAACAATTGGATATTCTCTGCTTACCATTCAGTTTAAGATCAACACCATGGATGACTTGGAAGAAGTCGTGAATGTCTTCGAAAATAACTCCGAATGGGATATCCGAATAGGCAATTGTTTTGGTTTCAACGAGTTCAGCAAGAGTTGGAGATTGCAGAGAGATGAGCTGGAAAAACAATTGGTGTGAATCTGGAAGTGCCTAAAAAATCAATTCTGCTGTATTATCCTCTTTTCAAAACAGAAAATTTCGAAAAACTTGTTGCCAAATTTTCATTTGGTTATTGTGATAGAAAAAGGAAGAAAGACAATGAACGATTTTGAGTTCTTGGAAAAATTGTGGTGCTTTATGAAACCTCATATTCTAGATTTATTACATTTGAACGAATATTTTCACCTTATGGAAAAGTTGGAACGGAAATTTTTTATAGAGGATTCGCAAAAAAAAGAACCTCTACAATTTGACCCTATTTATCTCGATTCCTGATTGATATATCAAAAAGTGTTTAACGGGCAAAATACTTTCGAATTTATGATAAACATTTTGTCAGTTGATCACTTTTTGATACCTTTCCCATGAACCGAGATACATGAGCTCAAAATGAATAACTTGGGCTAGTTTAGAATCATCACACTTTCGAAGTGCCTGCTTTCAAAACATTACGAAAATATTCACCAATCATAAAACTACTTGTTTCCGTTGTGTTATCATATTTTCGAAACAGAAAAATTCCTTTAAAAATTCGAGAAAGGTTGCATGTGGTTACTGTAACCTAAAGAAAGAAACAAAGGAAACAACTATTTTTTGGGCTTCATAAACATTTTGAGAATTTTGCCAAATTATCTCATAACAGTTAATCCTCAAGATATGGTTAATAGCAGTTCTCTATAAACCTAACTTCAAGAATCTCAAAAATTTCAGAAGAAAATATTACTCAGAATCTGAAAATACCAAAAAGTGTTTCATTCATTTGTTTCAAAACTTTGCAAGCTAATCCCAATAATTCAGAAAACTTCGTAAATATTCACATCTCACCTTCTTATTCAAGTACATGGTATGTCCCCAAACATTGACCTCAACATCATAGAGCGATTCATCAGAATTGTAAAAATCCAACATTTTGACAGAATCACACAAATTGGTGGATTTTACAACCATAGTGAAATGAATTTTGAACGCTTTCTCATCCTTCTTATCATCAAAAAATCCCTGATTCCGATCGATTATCTTTTCGTATCCAGGAATTTCAAGCACCAATTTCCGTTTGATTGCCGAAAATTCGTAGTTTCCTTGGGCCTAAAATGTAATTTTTAAATAAAAATTGTGAAATTTTTATCAGCATCTGATCTATTTTGTTAACTTCAAACAATTTCAAAAAACCCCACCTTAATGGAATAATCGGAGCTCTCCAAATTCTCAATAACCACAGCAACATCCATTTCGACCGAATAAAAACAATCATTGTGTTGATTTGTTGGAAAAACACTGAATTTTAAATTATTCGTCTCTTCAGACTTGGTTGTATCCACTGCAAACTTCCTGAATTCCATTGAATTAATGAGGACAATTTATGGAAAATATATCAATTACCATTCAATGTTATGGATTGGTGGAATATACATATTGTATTCAAGATTGCTTTTCTCGAGTGGAAAATTGCAAAATTTGGTGTAGGATCCTAGGAGGAAGGGTTCTAGAAATAAATAAAAAATGCTGAAATTAAAGGAGGTGGGAAATTCAACGTACTGGGTTTGCCGGTATAGTCTTGATACATCATTTTTCAAAAGCAAAATTCGGGAATCAAAAAGGAAATCAAGAGCCAGAAGAATCAGAGAAGAGTTGTTTTTGAGGGAAACACAATTTTCAACTTTTCGATTTTTTGAGATTTCGCCAGGTGTCACTTTTTGGCAATCTGTAGAGGTCAGCGCAGTGGGTTACCAGTGATACCAAAATTTTGATTTTTACGTGAAAGTGGGGAATTTTATCAACCGTGATTTAAAGGCGTTTACTGTCTATACTAGTGTGTCGTCTCGCGAGACTCAAGTTCAGCAAAAGTTCAGAGGAACCAGCGAATCTCGCAAAAATCAGCTACATTCGTTCAGCTTTGTTTCGCACAAAGTTCAGCAAAGTTTCGTTTCTGGATTTCTCGGAAAATTCAAGTTCAGCATTTTCACGTTTTCGCATAGTTTCGCAATTTCTCAGTTCAGCATTCTCTCATTACAACATTTTCCAGCAAGCTTTTCTTTTCTCGCAAAGTTCCGCAAAGTTTCGCGAGAAAAAAAGGAAGTTCAGCGAGACAGACGTGACCTTCATGGAAGGGGGGTTTTTAGGTTCCAACTCAGAAGTATGTCATCTTTAACCTGTTGATCTCCTCTCACAATATCTATTATCTCATGAAAAAGTTTGACCAGTTCAGTTCAAGACCGAAATTCCGAAATTTGGAAAGAATTTCACATTTCAGAAAATCTTAATTAAGATTTTCATAAATTCGAAACTTTCGAAAGTTGAAGTTCTTAAAAAATTGATAGTAAGAAAATTAAAATTTCGAGCATTGAGATTGTGAGCCATTTGGAAACTCAGAAATATTATTGCTGTCCGAAAAAATCAGAGTTAGAGTATGTTTTTCCGTATACAGTAGGTACCTCGAAGCGTCAAACTCTGTATACGATTTCCCTCAAATCGATGGAAACAAATAATAAATAATTCACGAACTACCTAATTTTGTACTTTCGAACTTCTGACAAGGGAAGTGTATTCTGACAGAAAGGCGAGACAGACTCTCCGTTGTGTTTTTTTGTTTATTTTTTCTGACTTCTCGGGAATTTTTTTTTGAAATATGAGCAAACGTTGTCAGATTGTAGATCAACATTTAAAAGTACGATTTATATACGAAAAACTCCGAACAACTGTTTTGAACTCCTTCAAAAGTTCACTCCAAAAGTGAGGAATTAGTACTGAAATCACTTTAAAAGCACAACTTTTTTGTGAGTGGATACTGCGAAAAAATAAAAACAGCTCCGTAATTAGCACGTTCGAAAGTACCATAGACCAAAGCTTCAAGAAATGCTCAACGCCTGTCTGAAAACACTACCCTTGTGAGGTTCTCATTGGAAATTGCGGAAGTCCAATTTGGAGATTTGCATGGGGGGACAGGAGCATGGGGGGACAGGTGGGGGGACAGGAGATTTTTCGGAGGTTTTTTGGAGTTAGGGTATGCATTCTACCGTCACGGTGTACAACGCTTAATGTCACTCTGCGTACAGCTGTCGTCCTCGCCTTCATGTATGCAATCGGACGGCAACTTCCTTTTTGCCCGCGTGGCTCAGCCGGTAGCGGCGCCGCACCCTCAATCCTCGGCCCCACAAATTCAACTCCTCGAGGGGCATATTTAAACGAAATTTCGAGAACATTATTTTTTCATGTTCCCCACCTTTAAAGGGGGACTCCGACCAAAAATTTTTATTGCATTAAAATGTGTTAAAAGTTATCTATTTTCCGAATATTATTGCGAAATAATTCAAAAAAAATCCGAAATTCCCAAAAAACGCCGTTGAAAAGCAAGAAAATTCAAAAAAAGGTGCCGCCGGGGGACGAGGATTTTCAGTGAGAAACCTAGGCCACGGCAGCGGGCGCCTTTCCTACGTGGCAAATTTTCCGGATTTTTTTCAATTTCATGTCCGGCAGGTAAAAAACGTAAAAAACCACTGTCGGCGACTTGAAAAAAGGCTGTCAGGTGCCGTGGCCTAGGTTTCTCACTGAAAATCCTCGTCCCCCGGCGGCACCTTTTTTTGAATTTTCTTCCTTTTCAACGCCGTTTTTCGGGGATTTCGGATTTTCTTTGAATTTTTTCGCAATAATATTTGAAAAATAGATAAATTTTAACACATTTTACTGCAATAAAAATTTCTGGTCGGAGTCCCCCTTTAATAAACTTTCAGGAATTCGAAAACTCTATACCTCTAAAATGTATTATTCGATATTTGGCATTTCTGGGTATCAAAATGTTTCACAATCCGAATGTTCGAAATTTCGATTTTCTTGTTTTTTTTATAATTTCAACTTTCGAAAGTTTCGAATTTATGAAAATCTTAATTAAGATTTTCTGAAATGTGAAATTCTTTCCAAATTTCGGAATTTCGGTCTTGAACTGAACTGGTCAAACTTTTTCATGAGATAATAGATATTGTGAGAGGAGATCAACAGGTTAAAGATGACATACTTCTGAGTTGGAACCTAAAAACCCCCCTTCCATGAAGGTCACGTCTGTCTCGCTGAACTTCCTTTTTTTCTCGCGAAACTTTGCGGAACTTTGCGAGAAAAGAAAAGCTTGCTGGAAAATGCTGTAACGAGAGAATGCTGAACTGAGAAATTGCGAAACTATGCGAAAACGTGAAAATGCTGAACTTGAATTTTCCGAGAAATCCAGAAATGAAACTTTGCTGAACTTTGTGCGAAACAAAGACTGAACTGGTCTTGCTGAACAATTCGCGAAAATATGTAAAAATGCGAGACTTGTCTCGCGAGACGACACTCTAGTCTATA